GGCACTACTGAAGAGTCAGACACTAGGATGAAACCACCGTGTAGGTGCTTCCAGGTTTTCAATAATGGTCTAACATTCATCCATCTATCATAATCTCAGTTACAAACTTCACATTCTCCACTACTCTGCACCGATAATGTTTCTTTTGTTATATATTATGACAAACAAATTAATGTTTAGATATTTTAGTTAATTGCTAATTTGATCTTATACATACTGAAATCTATTTACATTTCATAATGTTAGATAGTGAACTATTATACTGATAAGCAAAGATGAATAATGGATAGCATTGCTATTCAGGACGCTCGTTTTGTTCTATTTGGAACTTATCAGCCGGATGTACCTACATCTCAGAGTAGATGTTTACTCTGTGACTCGAACCCAGTACTTTTCGCTTCAAACGCCATCGCATTATCCTCTTAGCTATTGAGCCCTGATGGCCACCTGCTTATGCAATGTGGTGAAGTTTTAGATTTACTTGGTATTGTTTTCTTAAATCTTCTCACTAATGATTAAAACTGTAATTGACCAGTTTCTTGATTCCACTGCTAGCCACTATCCATCTTTGCTTAAAATGTTTGTGATTTAAGGCAATATCGAGGCAATATGCACAGTATGAACATATGCCAATAAGTGACTGATCAATCGCAGTCCTAAATATCAATGGGAAGATTCAAGTATGAAGTGAATATTATACTTATAATTATCACTATTCACATTTAACCTTACTTATCAATGTAAATTGAATAGATGCAAAACGATAAGTGGCTTCAATAGAATGGTTGCATTTCAGTAGGAATTTGATGGTGTATACAATTATTATAAAATGATTTTATGACCCAGAATTGGACTCTAGTTATATCGTATGAATGTTGTCGCGTTGACGAATAACGGAACTAAATAAGTCAAATATGAGAATGGATGTTTGATTATATATATTTCATACAATTGTTGATCGGAACACACAACGAGGGAATCGCAGCTAATTAAACGAAGGAGAGAGAGCGGAGCGAGACGACTTGCCATCCTTACCTAGCACCCGTTTCCTAACAACTGCATCACTTACTCGATGGTCCCAGGATATATGAGCAATGTTTCGAAGACACCTCTGATAGAATACTAGTAACCTACGAACTTTCTCTACACTTACCGGCTATGTTTCGTTGTCATAAAGTGAGATGGAACGATGTGCTGCGCAGTAAACCCGTCCTTTGGTTGATAGATGGATATCTCGCCTACGCCATAAATGACGCAAGTTGGCAAAAGCTAGACGAGCCTTCTGTTTCCGTGCTGAGATTTCGTCACACACCAGACCACAAGGGCTGGTGAGACTTCTCAGATAATTGAAGCGCTCAACTACTTCACTCTCTATTATTAGTTCGGGTGTCGATTCAACCCAATCCTGAAGTAACATTTTGCATTTTGAGAGGGAGAATCGCATCCCGAACATACTTGCATTGTTGCTTAGAGTAGTCAGAAGGGTCTGTATTTTGTCAGCGTTTTCACCAAATAGAACTATATCATCGGCATATTCTAAATCAACAAGTCAATCTCTCGCTAGAAGTTCAACTCTTAGACATTTAGATAACGAAAGTATCATCTCTAAAAGCATGTCAATGATAAAGTTAAACAAGAATAGAGAGATAATTCACTTTATTATAGAATTTTACATAGAATAATTATGATTGTTTAATTTGCATAAAAATGTTTCTCTTCTTTTCTCGACCTTAAATTAATGAAGAGAATAATAAAATACAAAGATCTTTCATCGTTAAGGTCACCTTCAGGAGATGTGATATGAACTTAATGAATTCCTTTAAGTAAATACAATATGTTGTTATCATTCAGTTAGTTATAATTTCGATAGAAACTGAATGTTATTTCCAATGGTGTTTCTATCTCTTTCTCGCTCACTTGCTCGCTCCCTCTCTCTTTCTTGCTCTCCCTCTCTCTCCCTCTCTCTCTCTCTCTCTCGTATTTGTGTCAATTACTGTACTACTAGCTATTTGATCTTCTGTTGTTAATCCTAATTCTATTTGATGTAATTATCTATTGTATGTGATTATTGTTTAAGTTTATAATGTACATTCAAATTATTATCATTTGTGGCATTGAGATTAGAATTTATAGACGATCTTTGAGTGATGTTAGAGTGACGTTGAGAGTGTCCACGCAACTGACTAAAACAAAATGAAGGTTATTAACCAGTGTGGAGAATTAGAATAAGGATTTACTGTTGATGGTTAACGGTTAGGAATTAAATTTGTGGTTTTCGTCACGATCTGACATAAACTAAAATAGTAAAACTGTATGTTATATCCGAGTGAAGATTAAATTACAGGTAACTCCCGAGGACTATTCATGGACTAATATTCCATAAATACTCTTATTGTAAAACTATTGAATAATTAGATTATGTATATTTATATTCCTTTTATGATAAGCTTTAATTTGACCTATAATTTATTATTGTACGATTTACGATTCTTAAGCTATGCTCAGTCTATTAATTACTGTCCCCCTCGTGCACAGCCACTTTTTGGCTTATTTGTGTACACATGTTGTTTTCTAATTTATGGTGCGTTGTGGTCTGTCTGGTTGATATATAAACCGAGTATGTTTGAAATAAACGATCTGCTCTGATTCGAAGCTGGTATTGTGTTCTGGACTCAAGTGGAAGGGCTTGTAGGACATAGGGCCAATAAGGACGCTAGACTGCCCACACCGGTTGAACGTCATTGGTTGGCCTAGTGTAAAGATCCGTATAAGTCGTATCCGGATTGGTCGATAGGTCGCGTGGTAGCAAAACAAGACATCCAAGGTCATAACACTGTATTTAGCCAAATGGATGAGTTTACTTATACCTAACTGGTTCGTCCATAAACTATAATCTTGCTCTTGTGCCCTATCAATAGGTTAAGTAATGATATCGTTAATTAGAGTACAGTGATTTGTCGACCAGATCAATGACGTATAAAACCTATACGAGCAGTCTAAAGTCTTTAATGATCTTTTATCCTGTATAGTACTGCCTGTTAGAGTCCAGAACGCCAAACTCAACCTTCATGATATGAATCATGTATTTCAAACATACTGAGTTTATATACAAACCAACCAGACCACATCACACACACACACACCATAACATAGAAAATACACATTTGTACAAGATCTTCAAAGTCTTCAACGACAAGTATTAACCAATAAAACTTCATTGGAATTAAGAAGATGTAAGTATTTTAAGTACCCAATTACTCATAAGTAACATTCCTCACTGTAATATGTTTATGCTAAAGTTTTTACCATCTCAGCTTTCTTATAAACTTGATAATTTAGTCAAGTAGTATCTTGAAACATTCAAATAGTATGTATTATTCCTGGGTTCGAATCTCGGGGGGTCGGGATCGTGGATGCGCACTGCTGAGGAGTCTCATACTAGGATGAAACGTCCGTCCAATACTTCCAGGTTTTCCATGGTGGTCTAGTTTCAATTGACTCATGATTTCAACCAGTGAAATTACCTTTAGATTAGTTATATTTCTCAATCTTTATTGAAAGGATAATTAACATAGAATCGTTATTATAAATAATGATGTACTAACTCATGTCTATTCAAGATTTCTTCATATCTACTTAAATCAATGTAATCTTGCGATGGTCATTAGATTTACTTATATTCTAGTTTATTTTAGTTAGTTAGTTACTTACTTAATTATTTACGTCTGTTATTCCGAATGGAGTATACGTCACCGATTAGCATTCTCTAACCCACTATATCCTGGACCTACCCTTCTAATTCTATCCAATTGTTATTCATTCTTTTCATGTCTGTCTTCATGTGTTCTTTGGTCTTCCTTTTCTCCTTTGGTTTTGAAGATTCCAGGTGATGGCTTACCACGTGCGCAGTTGGACGGTTTCCTCAATGTGTGTCCTATCCACTTTCAGCGCTTCTTTCTGATTTCTTCCTACGCTGAGATCTGATTTGTTTTCTCCCATAGTTGGTTGTTGCTAATAGTGTCCGGCCAATGGATCTGAAGTATTTTGCGTAGACAATTGTTAATAAACACCTGTATCTTCTGGATGATGACTTTCGTAGTTCTCCACGTTTCTGCCCCACACAGTTGAACTGTCTTGACATTTGTATTGAAAATTCTGACTTTGGTGTTGATTGGCAGAGAGTTGTTTTGAGTTCCATATGTTCTTCAATAGCAGATATGCTGCTCCTGTTTTGCCGAAGCGGGCCAATAATTAATAAGTATCCTTGAACCTAGGTTTCTTGACAGTTGATAGTTGCCAGTGTGGGATATTTGCAAACTTAAGGGTGACTAATACTGTCCATGAGGTTCACATTAGCATTATCCAGTATTACAGTTCAAGATATTGCATAGTTCATATTTGTGCTTTATTATTTTTGTGACTGATATTTTACTGTGGTTTTACTAGTTCATACATTACATGGATATAGAATCTGTAGGCTAAGATATGAGATATTAACATACAAGATACTTTATTTTGTATCTTAGAAGTTAATTCATTTTGTTAAAAATGACGATAAATATGATGACGACCCATAGATGAATTCGAGGAAATTCTAAAAGCTCAGAAAGAACCAAAGACAATCCATTCAGTCATTTCGTGAAAGAATATTCCAGAATCTCAGAGTTTAGCTTCCCAATTGAACAAATGCTAATACCCCCCCCCCTGCATACGGATCGGAGGACTATAATAATGATTTCGTCTTTACTAAAGAAAAAAAAACAATCTATAAATACCTAACAGTTTTGTATCATATTTGACACTGTTTAAAATGACATTCCTTTCACTTATCTTCTATCTTCTCATTTTCGACTTCCAAAGGTTCTAGAGTTCGAATACTCCAAGTGATATACGGTATATTCAGAATCTAACCTTCCAGATATAATAGTCAATATTAATCAATAATTCTTTCTTTAGTTCATTCATAATCATTATTTATTTCATCTTGTTATTCATTATAGTTAATAGTCATCTCATGAATTCAGATCATTCTGAATCGTTATCACAACAACAAAGTACAATTATAATTGAGAATACAAAAATCAATGATTCAAATACAAAATTAAATGAATCCATGATTTATACAAGTTTTTGGCATCGATTATTTAGAAGATCAAAAAGTAAGTTAAACATTCAATTTCCATGTTTTGAATGATGATTACTAGTTCCCCCCCCCTCCCCCCCTCTTCCAGTTGAACAAGTTGTTGAAGCCTAATAGACCATTCTGTAGAGAAATAGGCCACATCAAAGCACGGCAAAACTATCGGGGTTAGAATAGCTGTTTTTGAAATCGGTTGGATTTTGCTTCGTAGAGAGCAACTCCGTACATTCCATGCACCACTTTTGTGAATTTTTGTCGTTCTTCGATTCAGGAGTAATTGTGCTGTGATTCTTTGTGGGTTTCGTAATCAGTTTGTGGGTTTCGGTCGAGTGAGTGATCAGCTTGATCTCTACCACTCGGGTTACCGCTTACGTTACTTCATTGGACTGAGTCCCACTATCCAGGAGGCATGATGAGGACGTGTGAGTTGGGTTTTGCCTCCCATGTGTAATAGCGAGGACTAGGATATGGGTTTTGTCCTATGACTAATCCAAAGCCTCAGAGGGCTCCGGGCGAGGTTTGATATATTCGACGCTACAAGTCAATTACAAAGACACCTTCCTAAATACCTAACTATTCAACTATATATAGAGAGAGAAAATTAAGACTGCTTAGCATACTGTATTCTAGAAACCTGAATGACAATATTGACAACTATCACGTGTCAAGTCTGACCGTTTACTGGGGCCCTTTATTTTGTCATCATTTAGATCGGAGAATGTTTGTTGACGGGCTCTCCACTTTAGTGGCACGAGATCTGACTCCAAGTAGATAGGATTTTCCACGAAAGCGTTCATCCATTTGGTTAAATAGAGTTTTGGCATTATAGCTGATGTCAGTTTGTGATGAAAACCTCATATATAATTTCTAACTAAGGCAAATTACGACAATTATTGCCAACTGGATAATAAAAGCACCAGTAACACTGACTGCAGCCGGGTACTACAATATATACGGATGTTTGGAAAGCATACAGACTCCTACATAGGCTTGGTTATTTACATCGTGTCGTTATGCACAAGTAGCATTTCGTGCACTCAATAACCGGAATGCACACAAACAATATTGGATTTATGTGGTCGAGGCTGATAGTTTTTGCGACCTTATCATTGCTCCAGAGTCCCACTATTTCATAGCCATACAGATGAATTCCCTCTACTGCATGCGATGCGATTTTAGAAACTCTGAACTGATTTCTAACCTTGACAAGTTTTTGAAACACGTATAAGAAGTGTATCCACTTTATTTCCTTGGTTTTGTATAACACCTTTTTACTCTATACTGACTGTTTTCTGATTTGCTAATATTCCTCAAGATCACTTAACATTCGTTCAAAGGTCGTCCATAAATTAGAGTCTCGCTCTTACAAAAGATCAACCATGCCTAAATATCTCACCGTGTAGAGATGAGTTAGTATATAATCTCTTGGCCTTGACTAGTCATGTTCATAGACTACTTATGTAGTGAACGAGAACACAAGGGAGGACAACCGAATATACAGAATCCTTCTAGTAAAATCTAACAACCATACAAAATTTTAATCAATCATCTCAGACTTCATTGTTTCTTCGTTTTCACAGAAATCATTCTTTGTTCTCATTCTCTTCTTTTGAATCTTCTTAGCCTTCTATCACCAAACATTTCACTTTTGATTGTTGAGACATATACTACTTATATCGAACGACATCAGTAGTACACATGACATACTTTTACTAGTGAATAGTAATATATTCATGAAATAAAATCTATTTTCTTTCCTTTTCTTTTTCTTTCTCTTTTCCTTCTTTTTTCTTCTTAGGTTTAGACAGTGAATCATCACATGTCAGTTCACCTGTTATAAATGAACAACAGAATAAATTAAATATACAATCAGATCATTTACAAAATCCTATTACATATCAACATACTACTAATAAACTACTTACAAATGATGAAACAAGCTTATCTAGACCAGTTTCCATAGAATATAATAATGATAATAATAATACTACTACTACTAATAATAATAGTAGTATGAAAAATTACAAAAAAGTATTTGAACGTAAACATTTTACAGAATATGGACATCATCAATTTCAAATTACTTCATTATCTAGTAGAAAACAACGTTTATTACGAAATCATCCATCTTATCAGCATAATACAACACCAATGAATAATATGAATCAATCTATCAATGAAATACAATACACTACTACTAATACTACTGATTCAATGAATATAAGTAGTCAAATGAATTCCGATAAAATAAATTTCAATCCATGTAATTTATTAAAAAGTGAATCAAAAAGTCAAAATTATTTAGATTTAGATCAATCTCCAAAAATGCGTTATGTACGTAAATTGAATACATTTGCTAGTGTACCAGATTTAACTAAAAAACCAATACGTAGTGCATTAAAAGGAAGTCGTAATAGCAGGTAAATTACAATGGATAATGATGATGATGATAATATGGTTTATAATAAATTATTGAGTTCGACTATCATTTATGAATGAATCAAGTGTATATAAGATAATAGGCCTGGAATTTTGGCGCGAAATTCATTCATTCATTTAATTCAATGGAGTTTTGACACTAGAGTTCATGTCAGTTCATAATGAAAATCCTCAATGTTATTCCTAACCTTGATCATCAACAGGTTTATAATCTTGATTTGGTCCTAGTTGTTGAGTGGACACTTTCAACATTAGTCTAGTGTCACACAACAGTCATCCATAAATTATAGTCTCATCAATTTTTGTTTTGTTTAGTAGTATTTGAACAAAATGTTTTCAGATGAATGATGAATGGATCTTAACAGTTTACTAACAGGTAACTAGAAGATTATAATAGATTTATAGACAATAGTCAGTTAGTTACAATGTAGGTTCAATTTGCCATACCTCATTAACACAAGAAGATGATCACCAAATCCATAGAAGTAGTTAATTCAGTGATACTTTGGTGGCCCTTTATGTGACTGCAATGGACCGTATGAATGTCACTGAAAGATGAATATCGTCAATCCACGTATATTGTTATCGACCTACCTCGCGTTGGTGAATAACGTAATTAAATAAGTCAAATATGATGATGGATGTTTGAATAAGTATATTTCATACAATCGTTGATCGGAACACACAACGAAAGAATCGCAGCAAATGAAGTGAAGAAGAGAGAGAGGAGCGAAACGAAACGAAGCGAAAGGAAAGGATGAGCGGTGGAGAAGGCTCGTAAGCCAACTCCATTTAATCAATCGTTAATCAATATTTATAGTCACACAAAAATAAGTTACAGATATGTGATGAATACGATAAGAAGGGTACATACATATACGCTCATATAAGAACAGTTAAAGTTGATTAGTGAATAATTAACAAGTTCCAAACGTGACTCAATAAGAATTGATAAATTGGCCATTCCAAAAGCTAGAAAAATCTATATGGGCTTAACATATTAACCGAACGTACAGTTGTATTATTTAAAAGAAATTTTAAATATAAGGATATAGTACAGGAAGAAAGAATTAGTTCGTAGAAAGAAAGCTGTAAATTATTTTAATCTCACGGTTTAAGGAAACACAAAGAGTGCATACACCTATGACATTGTGATCGATTCTGTGCCATGTCACCCAGAGTCTCAAACCACTGGTTACGATAGTTTCACGGACCCCAACCAAGTAGTCCGTATCTACCTGTATGGAAATATGATTACGGATAAATCAGCTAGATTTCAACAAAATATCAATAAGTAATGATGTTGATTGACTTGAATTTAGAATTAATCACATCACGTTTACTATTGTGAAATCTATTTACAACTGCATTTCACCAGTATTTGCTTTTTTGAAGTATCTATTATACTACTTAATAAAATAGTCAGTAGTTTGAGTATATCAGATGATTATCATGTGCTCTGTTCTATCAATTTCAATGTCTTACTTCAATGTCGAATGTGTAGTAGTACCTCTTTTACACAAACAGCTAATTGAAAGTTTTTCAAATCTTGAATAAAATGACTAATCTTGAGGGGTGACATCAATTTTCTTCATTACTTAGGTAGGATTTGTCAGATAAGATTTCTCAGTCTAATGGTTGGTTTCATGAAGGACTGAATTTTGCTAGACAATTACTGTAGCTCTAGATATAGTAAAAAAGTGGAGAAGATTTATAGCTCAAGTGGATGATTATTATTCACAAACATAGAAACAATAATCAACCCAACGGGAGATGCAACCAAAACGAAGAAGTAAACAATAACATATCTGAGGTTAACAAGAATCAATCAACATCGAGGTATACATGACAAGCTGTGAATCACATGTGGAGAAATTCTAACACTTCACTTCTACCTGAAGTTTGTGCTGATGATGTCATTCCTAAGAATGATGAAAGCTCCACAACTAAGCCATCCAGCTCATAGAACAAAAGTCCATCAAAATATATTAAAAGTTTCTGTCGTTCTTTCACAATCCTCATTATAAGACTCTGATAGCCATAAAATGGATTGATCGCAAACTACTTTTCATTGATTTAATAAATCATAATCAATATGTTTAGTTTTCTAGGGCGTATATAAAGTGTCTAATCATATTGTATTCTGTTCCTTAACTATTATAATCATTTAGACATTGATACATAATGATTTCAATGAATGGTTGAAAATGTTTTCTCACTTTCAGGTGTACTATGTTAATGAGATCCGTCACGTTATATGAGATCTAGGATTCATGATCCATAATAGAGAACCAGAATAACACTAAATAGTAGATTATTTCACACAATTACAAATAGTTATAATCAGTAACTTAATGAATAGGATTAAAATGTACCTATAATACGTACATATGAATCAATTAAGCGACTAATAATAATAAGGCTAGCATAATGAATATATAAGTAGACAGAGTAAGCAAAGCAATCCTTAAGCATACATATTCATACAAAAGTGTAACAATAATAAAGGTACAATCATATAAGATAAGTTGTTATTGTACGAATGACTCTATGTGTTGAATAAGTTAACAAAACGGATTAATCAAATGAACTATGACAAAGTCAATTGCCCATGATCTGGTATAATAATGTTGATGTCAAGGAATAGTCAAGTCAGATATATTCAAACAGATCACTTCAATTTTCTTCTTTCATTTTGTTCTCATTTAGTGTACATCGATCAATACATGAACATGAAGATGAACATGAAGATGAACATGTTACTATGTCACCAAATCCTTTAAATTCTGATTCATTTTCATTAACACCACCAACACCAAATGAAATGAGATATTTATTCAATGATCAATTAACGGATTTATCCAATACAATGATGAATATGAAACCAATGATTAAAACAAATTCGAAAACATTCAATGATTCAAATGAATTACCAAGTCAATTAGATTTATGTAATAAAAATAATCTTAAAATTGAATATAGTGAATATTCACCTGAATTAAAACGATTCAATAAGAACTATTATCAATCATTTCAAGAAGATAAAGAAGAAGAAGAAGAAAAAGATCATGTTGATGACATGAAGAATTCAAAGAAAATGAATATAACATATGATAATGAAACGAATGATGATGATGATATAATTGAGAATAACGATATGATAGAAGATGATAATGAAGATAATGTTGATTCAAATGCATTAACTCCACGATTTCATTCTAAAGTAAGAGTTTTTTGTTTCTTTCACTATTTTGACAATATCTAAGTGATTTAGGTTGATTCTACTTTTCTGGTTAGCGTTTGTTTTTTTTGGCGAGACTCTAATTTATGGACGAGCCTATCACAAGTGTTTGTGGCATTTCAAGGTCACAGCGCCAACTTCAGTGCTTAAGGCTAACGTACAATCGGTTCACAGGGAGTTTTGTACAAAACATGATAATTGAGCGGCTATGACAAATAAAACAGCGAGACTATACTTTGTGGACGAATCAATCAGGCATAAGATAATAGATCTCGTATTTTAACGCGAAAGCCTTTCATCTATTTGGCTAAATAAATTTCTGGCATTACAGCTGATGTCAGTTCGTGATGAAAACCTCATATATAACTCCTAACTGAGGCAAATTATGACAATTATCGCGAACTGGATAATAAAAGCACCGGTAACACTGGCTGCAGCCAGGTACTGCAATATGTGAGGATGTTTGGAGAGCGTACATACTCCTCCATAGGCTTGGTTATGTGCATCGTGTCGTTATCCACAAGTGCATTTTGTGTATTCAACAGCCGAAGTACACATAAACAATATTGAAGCTAATGTGGTCGAGGCTGAAAGAGTTTTCGCGACTTTACCATGGCTCCAGAGGCCGACTATTCTGTAGCCGTATGGATGATTTCCTCTACTACATGCATTACGAGTTTAGAACCTTTGAACCTCTTTCTAACCTTGACAAGTTTTCGAACTACGTATAATCAGTGTATCCACTTTATTTCTTTGGTTTTGCATAATATATTTTTACTCTAAACTGACTGTTTGCTGATCGGCTAATATTACTCAAGATCACTTGACATTCGTTCAAAGGTCGTCCATAAATTAGAGTGTCGCCGTTTTTTTTCTAATGAGTTTTCTATGGGATGGGATCACTAACCTCATGCCCAACCTTCTTCCTTTATACGGGCTTTGAACCGGCAGTAGAGCCAGAGGTACTCCAGCTGGAGTTGTTTGATTCTACTACTATATGATATAGATAGTTGTTTAGTTAGTTTCTACTATTCCAACTGTTTATGGTCGTGATTTCAAGTTATCTCTTTCTATTACTCTATATACATGTCAAACTGAAGGATTCTAGTTGTTTGATTAAGGATCATCAAAGGTATCTTTACAAACAGCATAGATTGAGTAAATCAACTTAAGAACAAGTAATTCGTCAACTTCGGTTTTATTAATATGAAAAACTAGAACTATACAAGGAACAACTGAAAATATTTGGCTGAGGTATCATGGAATTAAAGTAGTTATTTTCTATTCATTCATACTAAACACTGTTTTAACAATTGCTATGATTCGGTTATTTGATCATAAGACTGGCAAAAAAGAAACAAAATGTTTTGAGCTACTCATTAGTAGTGAAATAGAAGTTACTAAAATATCCACTAAACTCTACATATTTGAATTACCGTCACTAATACTGTACCTATTCATCCGGATATAAACGAACTGAGCTGTTTGGTGTCTAACTAGTTCAAGTCCTATGATCTTAATTAGCTTATGTTGTTTATTTATGGACTGGTCACCGGATAAGTAATACTGAGGTTAGATGCAAGATATTAGGGAATGATTGTAAATCAGTTGAAGAGATTATGAATCTTCATCGACTGAGATGGTTGGGTCACGTGTTAAGTATGCCTGAACACTAATTACCACGACACGCAATGCAAAATAGTATTGGGGATTGTTGGAAGAAATTTAAGGGCGGTCAAACTGACCAAAACGTGACATCAGTCTAGAAAGTCACTAACAACTAGTCTTAGCCATGTTGGTGGATGCAGACTATTTGGTTGAAGTCCGCATGAATATCGTAATGAATAGTCGATGACTCTTGGTGAGATGGCTCAGAATCGATCACAATGGCGTCGGTGTATACACTCTCTGTCCTCTCTTAAACTATGAGATTAAAATGGCTTTATACCTTTTTTTATGATTCTTTCTTCCTGTATTGTATCCTTATACACAATCTTTCTTTTATATATTACTACCATTGAATTAACTACATCTATGAATTCGCTGTTCATCTTGTTGTGCTAATGACGTATGGCAACTTGAGCTGATGTATATATGTGCCTTGTCTTATGTTGTAGCTGACTGACTGACCAACTGACGGATGAATTGATTATAGAAAGATAAGCCATTCCATATTTTGTAGAAGCCTAACAAGTTGAAACCTAGAAGTGTCTAGACAATGTGCATTCCGATTATTATTAAATACGTTCAACTTTACATTTAGAATCTTTTGTTAAAAAACATCAATTCGGCTTTTCATACAGAAGTCGATTCCATTTTCAAATTCCACAAAAATGTTGTTGAAAAGTTTCTTTTAATAGTTGAATTCATGAATCGATTGAAGCTAGACCATCTTGGAGTCCGATACTAGGAGGAAACGACCGTCCTGTTCTTCCAGGTTTTCCTAGGTGGTCTAACTTTAGTTGACTCATGAATTTATCTATTAAAATTACTACTGTCTCCATAAAACCCTTTTCTGAAAAGTTTCTATTTTAATTCATTAGAACTAAAATATGCTTCTTTGTTTTGTAATGTCATCACAGCTCTTGAGACGTGATAGTATGGAATGTTACCTTGAGACAAACAAAGCACATGATATACGTCATGAAAGGGATCATCCTCTTTCCGATCTTATTGAAGATGTGATAAACGGAAAACATTCTTTTGGTGATTCAACGAATGGAACGACTGATTTGGTAGAGGAGGAAGAAGAAGAAAATACGAATGATGATGATGATGACGATGACTGTGAAACCGATGAAAATAGTGCCGACTCCTTGTCCAATTCAATAAAAGATGAGTACTCACCCAAACCTTTGATAACTGAAGTACTTTCACCTTCCTTATGTGCCAGTGGTTATGGTCCAGTTGGGCACTTGTTAACAAGATGGTTACCTCAAAGACATTTCTGTGAATTATTAATTGGAAGCAATGAAAGTCCAGGTAAGATAAACGACATTGATACTATCTATTTGTTTTTCAGATTGAATTCAGTTCTTAAGTTTATTAAGTCCTTAAAATGATTAGAGAAATGATGTTTTTCAACAAATTAACCTTCATCCATAGTCTAAGGTTGGTGAATTGGGAAGAAATGCTGAATAATCATGTATAGATGAAAAATTCTGATCCTGTTATTTACAACAAGATGATTGGTCGACAAGACTATAATCTGTGGATGACCTTTGAACAAATCTTTTATATTGGTACGCTCTCTAATCATCCGTATGTATTGCAGTACCCTGTAGTAGCCAGTGTTACTGGTGCTTTTATTATTCAGTCCGCAACACTTATTGAGGGTTGTATTAGTCCCACACTGAATCGAGCGAAAATATCCTATTCTAGCAGACTTCTTCCTCCAACACATACTACATTGGGAGACAACATCATCACGGTAGTCTGCACAAGGTCCACAAGTCAGCTGATTACCACAATCGCAAATAAAGAAACTTCTTATAAATCCCATTTGTTTTATCTAAATTCCTCTATGAACCGATCGTACGTGAGCACCAGGTCCTAAACTGGCTGCCGTGACCTTAAAATTCCTGAAACTCTTCTGATTGGCTCGTCCATAAATTATAGTCTCGCCATTACTGTGACCACATAAGAAAAAATACAGGGGCATCACTCTTCTCTCAATACCGGGAAACGTCTTCAACAGGGTATTGTTAAACAGGATGAAGGATTCCGTAGACGCCCAACTTCGTGACCAACAGGTAGGATTCCGTAAGGATAGATCGTGTACAGACCAAATCGCAACTCTACGGATCATTGTAGAACAATCAATTGAATGGAATTCATCACTCTACATCAACTTCATTGACAACGAAAAGGCATTTGATAGCGTGGACAGAACAACACTATGGAAACTTCTTCGACACTACGGCGTGCCTCAGGAGATAGTCAATATCATACGGGATTCCTATGATGGATTACACTGCGAAATCGTGCATGGAGGACAGTTGACAAACTGGTTCGAGGTAAAGACCGGTGTCAGGCAAGGTTGCTTACTCTCACCCTTTCCCTTTCTCCTGGTGATCGACTTGATCATGAAGACGTCATCATGTGGAGGGAAGCATAGGATACAGTAGGATGCAATTGGACGATCTAGACTTCGCAGATGATCTGGTGCTCCTATCGCAATCGCAACAACAAATGCAGGATAAAACGACCAATGTAGCAGCAGCCTCAGCAGCAGTCGGTCTCAATATACACCAAGGTAAAAGCAAGATTCTCCGATACAACACAGCTGCACCAATCCAATCACAATTTTCAATACAAATGTCAATACAATTCTACTGTATGGGGCAGAAACCTGAAGAACTACGAAAGCCATCATCCAGAAAATACAGGTATTTATTAGTAGTTGTCTACGCAAAATACTTCGGATCTGTTGGCCAGACGCTATTAGCAACAACCTACTGTGGGAGAGAACAAACCAGATCCCAATGGAGGACGAAATCAGGATGAAGCACTGGAAGTGGATAGGACACACATTAAGGAAAGCACCCAACTGCGTCACAAGACAAGCCCTCACATGGAATCCTCAAGGCCAAAGGAAAAGAGGAAGACCAAAGAACACATTACTCCGGGATATGGAGATAGACATGAGGAAAATGAACAAGAGTTGGATGGAACTAGAAAAGAAGGCCCAGGACAGAGTGGGTTGGAGAATGCTGGTCAGCAGCCTATGCTCCATTAGGAGTAACAGGCGTAAGTAAGTAAGTAAGTAACATAAGAAAAAAACAGAGGCATTGAACACTTGTTTTGTACACATAGACTACAATTATTGACTTCCATTCATATAGCTTCCATCTTATGTAAAAGGTGAGATCCAACTCTTTCTATACATTGCTTTGAATATTGTGGTCTTATATAACGTAATCATCATCGATAAACCTCTATTCGAATGAATTAAGTCATAATATTCAGTCGTTTCTATAATTAAACAAAATACAATTGAGTTGGTAGTGATATGTGGTAATGAAGTTAAAGTATGATTGGTCGTCAAGCCTGGACTGATTGTAATTAAGTGAAGCAAAGTCTTGTTTAGTGTTAATCTGATTCTTCACTTTTACGTCTCGAATCCTTACTCGGATGTAACATGATTAATCTTATTAACGTATTAACACGTCATTGTAATAGATATCTGAGAGAAGATTTAAAAGTATTTTAAACCATACGTTTCATCAGGTAGGATTTAGCCATCATCATTAAAATGGAGAACATGAAATACAATATATTTAAAAGGATTAACTTAATTCATCTTAATGAGAGTCAGCTCTCTCTCTCTCTCTCTCGAAATTCTGTAACATGGCCATGTGCATACAACCACTGTCAGGGAAGTCCTATTCATTGCTTCCTCGCGAAGGGGATGTATTTCACGAAATTGAGAGGACAAAAAGCGAATGTCCGATACTTTAACCGGGTCGGTGGATACACTGAATCCACCTATAGTAGTTGGAAAACCATGATTTCAAACCAATGGTGTACATGGGCTCCAGGATCCTGAAGGAACAAATAACGTATGAACAAATTATTGGTCACCGACTACTATGAGACTGCATCTCTTGACGTTGCTCTATTGCCTTTTGGATTTGATCTTTCGATCAAAGGCTCCGAGTGTAGTAGTAGGGGATTTGATAAAAGAAAACATAATCCATGATTAAACGAATACATTATTGAATTATTAAAGAGATATATTTTGCTTAAACTTATCTTTTAGATACTTCAGAAGAGGCTAAATGGTTAAGAAGAAAGGAGTTATTAAAAGAACTTGCTAGAACTGTAAGTTTATCTCAGTATGAAATTGATGTAGACAATGACTTATGGAAAATGTTCAATCAAACAAAGAAGTTTTATTCTGCACGGTTGTTGTACTAAAGTCAATTATACAAATAGATTTATAATGCAATTAACTATTAGGTAGATGAATGTTGTTCAATATTAAACTATTTATGGATATATTCATGTTAACCAAGTGATCGGTTAGCAAGTAACCGTAGTAACTTAAGGAGAAGGTTAATTGATGGCCATTAGAAGTGACCTGAAGAACAAGTGTATTTCATTGGCTAAGAAATGAGTCAATATTTCTAAGGATTAAAATGGTATTTATCTATATGTGAATGAGTAATTGTACATTTTATCCGATGGTCCCCTTAAATGCCCTGGTACGGCCGGGAGTCCGCTCTTCCTATCGAGATGCTCTCACATGGCCACGTGTAAATAGCCCCTGCCAGGGAAGTTTTACTCACTGCCTTCTCGTGGCGGGGTTGTTGCTTACTAAATCGAGAAGACGAAAGGCGAACGTCCAGCGCTTTAACCGAGTTGGTGGTCACAGAGAGTCCACTTAGGGGAGTTGGAGAACCCTGATTCCATACCAATGGTGCACATGGGTTGGCTCCAGTATCCTGAACGAACAAATGGCGTATGGAACAATCGTTGATCACCGGCTACCATAGGACTGCATCTCCTTACGTTGCTGCACTGCCTTGTGGATCAGACCTTCATGTCGAAGGCTCCGGGTGTGGCCCCCTAAGAAAATCACCTGCTTCGGTCTGGGAACCCGGGCAGTATCTCAGTCCTCACACAAATCGAATGATTTATGTGGTGCATATCTATTTGGTGCTTTATTGTATCAATGTTTATGAGTTTAAATGAATAATCGATTTAGAACAGAATAATATTAAATAATTCATGCTAATTAACAATTCTCAAACTCCATATATATAAATGTATTCGTAATTCCCCTAGTTAATTCTATTAAAGTTTTCTAATTTTATCTAAATCGCGTGACTGTTTTCTTATTCAATTTTATTCTAATCTTAAATGAATAAATATCCGATAGTCCAATGTATTTTACCACTCAGGTAGTCAGTTGAGAGGTCAGCACATAGCACACCATGTTTCAATATCAGATTGTAGGCATCACCTTTCATAATACTTAGATGATATCTTTAAAAACTCATTAATTTTCAGCTATCAATCCAGTCCGCTCTAGTCAAAAGCAAAGGATATACACAAAATATTGATCAAATCATAACTATACAAAGAAAGTACAAATTGCAACTTGGCCGATAGTATTAGATCTGCACTAAGAAGGACTTGACACAAAAGACATTGACCATAACCCAGTGATCAATCAATCGTGAATACATCTCAGTCCTACAGGAGGTTGGTTTTGGTCTGGACAGCCCAGTGGTAACGTCTCTGACTGTGGAGCTGGGTGATACGGGATCGAATCGGTCAGGGAGCACCAGTTCCCTCAAGAATACAGGTAAACCTTGCTGACGAGTACCAAGTAGCACGAAACCCGGGTCCAGGGTTTCCTGTCGACTACCTCCAACCACCATCTAATCTCAACATAGTGCACGAAACGTTTATTCACCTAGACTAGTGGCCACATTGCAACTTGGTCGATAATATTTGATCTGCACTAAGAAGGATTTGACACACATGACATTGATCACCATCCAGTGATCAATCAATTGTGAAAGTACAAATTCATACAATAACTAACTTCTAATGAACAATCACATATCTGATCTAATTTAGATAAAATATAATCACCATTCCTTTGTATTCTCGATCCTTATTTTTCAGTCATCTATCTATACAGAAGGTATGACACAAGAAATGTTCATGTTAAGATTTTCTGAATTCGTTGAAGTACAAGAACTGGAACCATGTGATCGAAGTGCTGATAAACCATGGATAAGATTAACATCAAAAGATAAAGTAAGTAAAGATCTTAATCTTCTGCCTCCAGATATTTCATTTTCAATTGATGATATATACTACTTATATATGTAGATATCAGTAGAATATACCACAATTGTTGTTGAAAAGATTTTATCTTAAGAATATGACTCGAGAAGAAACTGTTAATTCGAAGAATAAAACAAAAAGTGAATGCACTTGAGACATAAAAAAGAATTCTGTGCAACACTAAGCAAGTTCTCAATCAAGCAGTCTAAATCAATCTATGGGAGCTAGTGCCATGTATTTATTCGGCTACTCTTATCCATCTTACCACACAGTCACCATGTATAGATAGTTTATAAAACAAGCTGACCTTATTCAAACAACCGTTGGTACTGTGAGACAGAGAGTTTTGTATTCAATACCCGATATAGTCATGGTTGTGTACTGCTGAGAAATTGCATACTAAGACGAAACGACTTTAGTTTGAGACTTATACATAGCGATTGTTGTCCATAGAGTCTTATGAAATTCATAAGCTTTAATTTTTCTGCGAAACAAATCCCTTCAGAAAACAGACTAAACTTAGCTATCCACAATTTCAAATTGAATTGAGTTTGATATAGCAGTACAAGTATTTATAGATAGTTGTCTACGCAAGATACTCAACATCCATTGGCCGGATACCATAAGCAACAGCCTTCTGTGGGAGAGAACAAACCGGATTCCAGCTGATGAGGAAATTAGAAAAAGATGGTGGAAATGGATAGGACATAGATTATGCAAATCGTTAAACTACATCACGAGGCTAGCTCTGACTTGGAATCCTGAAGGTAAGCGGAAAAGAGGAAGCCCAAAGAACACATTACGTCGGGAAATAGAAGAAGATATGAAAAGGATGAATAACAACTGGAAGGAGCTGGAAAGAATCGGCTAGGATAGAGTTGGATGGCGAATGCTGGTGAGCGGCCTATGCTCCTTCACGAGGAGTAACAGGCGTAAGTAAGTAATTTGATATAGCAGAATCACCATTCAGTGCCGCCCTGAATACTTATTCCATTATCCAGATGGTTGAGTTATATAAATCATAAAGAATAAGAGGAAATTTGAGAATTCATCACAAACTTAAATACTATTTATGGATGGTTTCTGTATTTGACGGATTAATCTATACGCTGAAGTTATTTGAGCAAATTACCAGTCTAAACTATAATTTTTCAAATCAGTTTGAGTCCCACAGTGAACATTAACACTAAGATGAAAGTAAATCCGGCTGACGAATCAAAATAGGACGAAACGCGCGTCCTAGATTTCACAAATGATATAACCCAACGACCGAAAGAAAGGCACAGGATAGAGTGGGCTGGAGAATGCTGGTAAGCGGCCTATGCTCCATTGACGGTAACAGGGGTAAGTAAGTAAACCCAACGACCATAGCATATACCCAGCAACAAATATTATATTTTCATTTTCCTCGGTAAAACAAAGACAAACCAACCAATAAAAGAGGTTAGTAGATAAAGTTTAAATATGTTTTTATTAGTTGAATTCATGAATCAATTAAAGCTAGACCACCATGGAAAACCAATAAGCACTGGGATGAACGTTTCATTCTAGTATGGCTTGCGCACTGCTGAGGAGTCCCATACTAGGATGAAATAGCCATCCAATGCTCCCAGGTTTTCCATGGAAGTCCAGCATTGATTGATTCGTGAATTCAACTATTAACTTACCAAAACCCCTTTCCTGGTAAAATATGTTTTATGTCAAATATACCCAATTTAGGCACAGATTCGTAGAGAGTTAAATGATTACAAAATGGCTGAAATGGATGTACATCAAGACAGTCGACAATTCACCAGGTAAATCTTAATTATTTTTGTATGTATAGAGTTGTTTATCTATGATTAGTTCATGTATATCTGATAACTGTAAAAGAAACAACCTTATTACGTCTGAATCGGAGCTTTTCTACAAAGTAACTTGAGCTATAGTATTTTAAAGTACTAGATAACTATTAGAGGCTTACCAGCTATTTACATACGAGTGACTGGAATCTTAAAAATTCAAAACATATCTTAATAATGAGTAATCGTTTCTTTGTTAAAATTATTGCTATGAGATAGTTACTCACAGAAGACAATGGTGAACGGTGGCTCAATCTCGTGGATTGATTGAAGTTAGACATTAACACTGTTGGATGCCGACCGGCTCAGTGGTCTAGATGTTAATCATTCGCGGACGGGACTGATGTGTCCTGGGTTCGAATCCCGGGGGTCCCGGACGGGCACTGCCGAGGAGTCCCACAATAAAACGAAACGGCCATCCAGTGATTCCAGGTTTACCTAATACTCCAGCTTCAATTGACTCATGAATTCAACCATACAATTACTATAAGGTAAACAAAACCCCTTCTGATGATAATGATTTAGTCAATTTGGAGATGATATTTTAGGAGTAACTTCTGTTGGAGAAAAAGTGGTAAGTAGGAACCTATGATGAAGAATGCTGGCGACCGACCTATACTCCCCCATGAGTGGTGATAGGCGTAAGCAAGCAACTTATTCATGGTTAGGCTCTAAGTGATTACTGGTGTCTAGTCTGTAATTTAAACAAAATGATTGTTTTTGGTGTTTTGTTTTACAACTGTTACTACTCTACGGCCGTTTCGTACAATTGTGGGACTCATCAGCAGTGCGAACCCACGATCCCGCCCTACGAGATTGGAATCTAGGGCCTTCAGTCTCGTGCGCGAGCGCTTAGCGTCTAGACCACAGAGTCGGCATCCAACAGTGTTAATGTCTAACGTCAACCAGTCCGCGGAATTGTGCGACCATCTTTCATTGTACTGAGGTAGATACCTATCTCTACCCGACATGGATTAGCTCCATTGGTCATGGCTTCTCACTAGAAACTCCAAGAATCCCCTCTAACATCAATCGATTAATGACCTCAATCAAAAACCTAATAATATTCACAACCGTATACTGCGAAAGCATTTTGTGTTTAGATTAACATTTAGTAAACAGTTGTTATCAATTCATTCTATTATATCAGTTCACTAAAATATTTTACTACTGAAAAATTCACTTTTCTTTTTATCGAACAGATTTCATCCTCCGTAAAGATTTGTGGAATAATTCACTCAAGATGGTCAAGATCTATTCCATCTTAACGAATTCATCTTCTTCTTCTTCGTGTATGTACATCTGTGTATACAATCCTCCACATAACTGTCTATGAGTATGTGTGTGTGTGTGTATGTGTGCGGATGTGTATACATGTCAATGAATAAATCTGGACTCAATAATAACTAATCTGTTGTACAATAAAGAAAAACTATTTGTTCTATGAATGAATCAGAATTCCATCTCATCTATAGAATGATTCAATTATTCATTTACATACAACAAAAGAGGATCATCTTCTATTATTAATAATACATTAGAACTAATTGTATATAACTTATCAATGTATCTTTAGTGTAAATTACGTGTTGCAAATTGATGAAAAGCTTTTACAAAAACAGAACAATTCAAAAAGAGAATTCATATTGTGTATGTATGTTTACATTAGCAACTAAAGGGAACTAAAACACACACGCACACACACACACACAAAGAAAAAAAGATGTTGCCATACAACATGAATCATTCATAACAGTCATATTCTCTTTTTGTTTGTTTTTTTCTTTCATCAGTTGAGAGAGAGAGAAAAAAAGGAACATAATTGACCATTATATTTCGATGTATTAGAAATTACAATTTCGATTTTCGTAATTCATTTATATACAACAAAATATGGTGATATAGACATAGTTACAATTCATTGATTTTGGTGTAATTTTTTAAATAGATTGTAACTATGCCAATATTTAAAATCTCCCCTGACAACAACAAGTTTATTTGTATATAGATAAATATTTTAATAATAAAGAAAAAAAAGAAAAGAACAGAAGAATTCAATAATCCTCTTTGTTCTATCAACAAAGAGAGAGAATGTCTAGTAATGCAATTCAGTAATCCATTATATATTTTGATGGAGTTTTGTTCTCTGAGCTGGATGGTTTGGTTGTGGAGCTTTCATCGTTCTTCTGAACGACATCATCAGCACAAACTTGAGATAGAAGTGAAGTGTTCGAATTTCTCCATGTGTTCCACAGCTTGTTCTGTGCACCTCGATGTTGATTGGTTCTTATTGACCTTAAATTTATCATTGTTTACTTCTTTGTTTTGGTTGTCTCCCATTGGTGTTTGATTTTTGTTCCTAGATTTATGCATGATTTTCCTGATTGGTTGGTAAATTGGATTGATTTCAATATGTTTGTTGATTGCTGATTGACCTGAGTGCCAGGCTTCTAAAAATTCTCTGGTGTTTTTGGAGTTTCCTCTGTTTAAGATTTCCATATTTTTCCAATCGAATAAGTGTCCGTAGTTATCCACGTGTATTGATATAAGTGACGAGATATCATGGCGTTTGACTGCTAATTGGTGTTCATGTAGGCGGAGGGGGCGTCCGCTTTGTTCGATGTAGTGTTTGTCGATGTTGGTACAATTTATTTTGTAGATGATGTTTGATTTGTTTTCCTTTGTTATTCCATCCTTTGGTTTGCATAGGATTGATCCTATGATATCCATGATATCTCCTCACTCATATCAATACACGTAGACAACTGCGGACACCCATCCGATTGGAAAAATATGGAATTCTTAGACAGAGGAAACTCGAAAAACACCAGAGAATTTTTAGAAACCTGGCACTCAAGTCCACGACCAAACCATCCAGCTCAGAGAACAAAACTTCACGAAAATCATCCAAGCTTGTGATTCTTAAAGACAACATCGAAACACTTCACACAGGATGTGATTGTTGTTACAGAATACCAACATATTGAAAGTCCATATTTTCCAGAAAGAAGTTCAGATGAATTATTAGACATATTTGATACAGTATAGGTACTTAGCTATATCGGTAAAGAACTGTCTTGGTGACTGAAGCATTTGACTATTTTCAGATTCAACGGCACAATTTACCTACTTTTATTAAAGCAATCGATTATTAGTACAATTAACTATTATACTAAAAGTCGGCTTTATGACAGAGTACATGAATCTATATTTCATATATGAGTCAAATTTCTATAGGTGCTTTTTCGTCGTACTTTTTGTGTTATATGATGGTAAAGTGTATGCAGTTCTGGGCCAATGAAGAAATATAACGCCTAAAATGCACATGCTGGCTCAAGGAAAACAATGTGTGAAATGCGTTTATAGATGGACGATAATGGTCGAGATTTAGCTCAGTTATTTGAGGGTCAGTCAGCTGCAATATAGGACCAGACATATATATGCATCGATCCAAATCGCCATATCTCATTAGCACAACAAGATGAACACCAATTTTATAGAAGTAGTCATATCAATGGTAGAAAAATATAAAAGAAAGATTTCATATAAGGATACAATATAGGAAGAAAGAATTAGTTCGTAGAAAAAAAAGGGAAGACAGTGAGTGTATACACCTACTCCGTTGTGATCGATGTCACCTAGAGTCTCCAACTATTGGCTACGATAGTCATGCGGAAATCAACCAAGTAGTCTCCATCTACCAATATGGCTCAAACTAGAAGTTAGTGATTTCAAAGACTAATGCCATGTTTTGGTTTGACTACCTCTAACTTTCTTCCAATAGTTCCCATCATTAATCAACATTGCGCGTCGTGGTAATCGGTGTTCAGGCGTATGTAACACGTGACCCATCGATGTCAGTCGACGAAGATTTACAACTTCATCAACTGATTTACCATCATTCCTTAATACCCAGAGTCTAACCTCAGTATTACTTACCTGGTTATCCCAGCAGATGCGAGCAATATTTCTAGGACATCTGTGATGAAATACTAGTAACTTGCCAGTATCTACTCTTAATGGTCACATTTCGCACGCGTAAAGTAGGGCAGAACGAACTGCTGCGAAGTATACTTGTCCATTAATTGGAGGACATCTCGCCTTCTTCGAAGGTCATGTAAATTGGCAAAAGCCTAACAAGCTTTTCGAATCAGTGAGCAGATTTCGTCATACACCAACCCATTAGGGCTGATCAGACTTCCAAGATTGGTGTTGTCTACGCGTCCAACTACTTCAATCCCTATCCTTAGTTCAGAAGTTGACGAGGCCAGTCCTAGAGTAACAACTTGCATTTAGAGGGAGAGAAGCGCATTCCAAACATTCTGGCATTGTTGCTCAGTGATACCAGAAGATTCTGCATTTTATCAGCGTCTTCACCAAACAGGACTATGTCATCTGCGTATTCTAAGTCGATAAGTAGACCTCCTGGAAGGGGATCAATGCCCGAAAATTCGGTCGATCAGAGGGTTATTTCCATCAGTAGGTCTTTCATGTAATTGAATAAAAATGGAGATAGTGGACAGCCTTGACCGACACCACTTGAGGTTGCAAAATCAGATGACAGTTTGCCATAAGGTCTCACTCGACTGGTAGTGTTCGAGTAAAGAGCCTTCACAAGGTTTATGTACTTCTGAGGTACGCCTTTCAATGACAGACACTGGCATAGATCCTCTCTGTCTACAGAATCAAATGCTGCTTTCAAGTCAAGAAAGACCACCATTGCCGGACGCCAGTAGGCATGCCTATGTTGTGAAACCTGACGAATAGCAAACATGTGGTGGATGCAGCATTGACCAAGTGTGAAGCCAGACTGATTATTTCGGGTTTGCAGTTTATGGGTCTTATATATATATATATATATATATATATATATATATATATATATATATATACTTCGATTCAGCTTTCGAATATAGCTCTCTGTTCATTCTTAGTCTTCTGACTGATATAACAGGTTGAACTCGCATTATATAGAGCATGTATATATCGGCAAATGAATAAGACAACCGCCAAAAATAACAGTATATAAAACTGTTATAGTAATAGATGATACATTTTAAGATTTATCTTAGATGTTATGTTGATAGTCATGAAAATCTTCAATCTGTGTGTGTATATACCTGTGTACGTAGGCACAAATGAACAGTAACAATTCCTATCATTATGAATGTTATTGTTATTCTTTACATGGTTATTGAATAAGTTATAATTACAGTATATTTATCATAAATTATATAACAAACATACATTTCATCTATGACATAATCAATGCACAAACACACACACACCTCACCCCTATATAATATGCAGCACTCAATATATATAAAACCAACCATAGAGTACGTAGCACATTGAATAAAACGAAAAAAAAGAAAAAAAGAGAAACAGTTACTAAGTACCTTCTCATTATCTTTATCGAATAAATTAAACTGATGTCTAAATATTAGAGAAAGAGAGAGTAAGAAAAATGAATAAAAACATCACTCATGTTGTACAAATTATAATAATATCAATGAATAAAAAAAAACGATCTAGATACAAATTTTTAGCTTAGTTTACAACTCTATTCCCCCCTTTGGACTGTCTTATTAAAAGAATCAATCGGTTAAACTAAATGGATTATGAAGTTTGTTTAGAAAAACAAAAGAAAAAGGGGAGTGGGAAAGGGATGATCAAAATCTACACACATAAATGAGAATCATTTTCAGTTAAATGAACCACACACACACACACACACACAAGAAAAAAACAAGAATAATTATGTAACACATAGTGAATAAAAGAGAAAAGGAGAGGATGTTTGAAAATTCAAATAACTAGTAGGGTGTATTTGAGTAGGTTCATTCATTTGTATACATATAAATATGATAGGGTAAGTCAGATTTCAATGTTTACAACTGGTTTTGTTAAAATAGTAATAATCATAATAATAATAACAGCGACACCAGCAGAAATTATGATGGTCATCATCATCGTCGAATTTTATATTTTTTTTCTTGTTGAAGAAGAAAGAACAAAAAAAGCATCACGTGTTGCGTAACACATTTTTACATGGACACATGTCGATATCAGACGAAATTGTGTAAAGTAAAAGATATTCACCTGAAATATAGAATTAGATAAAATGAAAATTATTAGTATAGGGTTTTGGAGACAATTACTTTTTTTATTGAGATCATGAAACGATCGTGGATGTATACTGTTGAGGAGTCCTAAAATGGGACGAAACGACTGTTTATTGCTTCTAGGTTTTCAATGGTGGTCTAACATCAATCGGTTAATGATCTCAAAAAATTAAAATTGTAGTGATATTGAAAAGTTATAAATATAAATATATATATACTACTCGCAAGTAGTTTGGAGGAATTTAGCAAAAAAGGATGTTGTGGGGATACGCATACTGAGTTGAAGTCAATAGGTTCAATTATAATGGAGAGTAAAACTTTTTATATTTTGATACAATCTGATCAATTCTATTATTCCAATAGCTACTATGTGGTTTAAATTGATTTGTTAAATACTGATTGCATATACTTGACATTATTCACACACAAAAAAACAATCGGTGTTTGTAAATACCTGAACTTATTTGTTCTAGTTAGCGGCGGCCTATGCTCCTCCACGACGGGTAACAGCCGTAAGTTAGTATTGAAAATAATATCATAAACAGACTAAGAAACAGTAAAAATGACATAGTGATAGGAATTAAGATTGATTACCTGGATTTCAGAATATACATCTAAATATTATTCTATAATGGACACAAGTATGACGCAATTAGTCACCAGACAATGTTTCGTTAATATTATGAATATAACTAGTCAAATGTACATTACCTATATAAATGTGAATATTCATATACTGTATAGAACAATAGGAAAGATACTGATGTATGACAGGTTTATTGTGATTACAGTTCTGAATTATATGAATCAATGTCGACATAAAAAGATGCTGCACGGAAGAAACACTGAATGAAATGAGTAGAATGGCAGCAGACACTATTATTTCTCTAAGGAATCGATACTATTGATCGCTTGGGAAAGGTAAACAAATAAAGTGATGTTATCTACCGTTATTTTTCCTGTTAATTTATGAAGTATGCTTCATGGTATTGATGAAATTCTCTTACCAACTCATTTAGTACGAATATATGTTTTATGTATTAGGCTGTGAATTACATCGGTATCGTGTGAGGTAAATGTAATTATTCAAATTGAATTAGTTATAGCAAGGTTTCATACTAAAATTTACTTGCTAAAAGCCAGTGAATTCGATGAACTCTTTAATACTTAATGAATATAAAGATCATTGTATATTTTATAAAATGCCCTCCAAATGCCTTGGTACGGCCGAGAGTGAGGAGAGTTAGCCATCTCTCTAAAAATACTCTCATATCGCCACTTGCATACAACCACTGTCAGGGAAGTCTTAGTCACTGCCTTCTTTCGGCAAAGGTGTTGTTTAAGAAATTGAGAAGACGAAAAGCGAATGTCCCGAGTTTTAACCGTGTTGGTAGATACTGATAGTCCATCGAGGGAATTGAAAAGCCCTGATCCGAAACCAATGGTTCACATGGGCTGCAGTATCCTGAAGGAACAAATGGAGTATTGTTGGTCACTGGCTACCATGGGACTGCATCTCCTTACGATGATGCTCCACTGCCTTGTGGATCAGACCTTTAGGTCGAAGGCTCCGGGTATGACCCTCTGAGAAAACCACCTGTTTCAATCTTGTCACCCGGACAGTATCACAGTCACACAGAAATGAAGTGACTTGTGCGGCGCATATGTATTTGATACCTCCTTGTTTATGTGTTTAAATAAATAAATTATAAGGTAGTTTTCGTCATTAATTCAAATCAAAATTAGGCAAACATACAATGATGTTTAGATTATTAAATACACAATAAATGTATTCCATGTATAATATAGATATGTACTGGCTGTTGATCAAATAATAGAACTTTACCACAATTGATACACTATGATAAACAATCATTCAAGATTAGGAACCATACTGTTTTGGAAGATCTAAAATAAGGATGAAACTATATGTGTTCAATGCTTGGTAGGTTTTGTTGTTGTTGATTTGTTTGTTTATTTAAGCTAATGTCTGTTTACGTTTAAAAAAAAGTCATTCGTTTTCATTATATTAAAAAGAAACTGTTGTTTAACACACTATTGAAAGAGGAGAAAAAAAAAGTGTTAACATGAATATGAGACTGTCACCAGGATGAATTTAAATGAATCAAATTAAATTGAATAAAACATACAATACTACTACTATCCACAATTTTTGTTAGTAGTATTCACTCTATAATGAAGGTTTCATTGATACAAAAAAAATGACACAATTATATATGAGATAATAATTGGATTAGATTAAAGGCACACAATATTTATATCATTGATGTTGCTCAGTTATTATATTGAAAAGAAAACACCAACAACAACTCAGATCTTACAAATGATGGAACCATTGTGAATAGAAAACGAGACTGTAATGTATAGACGAACAAATCAGGTATAAAATAACAGGTTTCAGATTTTGGCATGAAATTCATTGAATCTTGGCATTGTATAACTGATGTCAGTTTGTGATGAAAAACCTTAAATCTAATTCTTAACCGTTAACCATCAACTATAAATCATCATACTAATTTATCACACTCATTTGTTCCTAGTCAGTAGGTGAACACTTTCAAAGTTATTCTAGCATCATTCAAAGGTCATCGATAAATTATAGTCTCACCGAAGATAAGTTAAACTATAATTTCAATAGACTTTCAAAGAAAATAAGATAGTGACTAAGTCATTTGAGATGTATATACTTTCATGGGAACAAGAAAACAAAAAAACTGTGTACATGTTGTGTCCTCTTTTCTTTTCTTCTTTTTCTTTTCAAACACTCTTCAAATAGTAATAAGTAGAAAAAAAGTGCACATTTTGAGAATTGTGAAATATTAACTGTCAAAAATATATAGAAGAAGAGATATACACAGAGACTGAAAGCGACAGAGAGAGAGAGTGAAAGCGGGCGAGCGAGAAAGACAGAGACTGAAAGCGAGAGAGAGAGAGAGAGTGAAAGCGAGCGAGCGAGAAAGACAGAGACTGAAAGCGAGGACAAGAGACACATGGAATGAATAGAAATAAAGATTTAGATAATTGTACATAATTTAAATTGTCTATTCCAATGAGACGAATACACACACACACACACGGAGAGAGAGAGAGAGCAATTGGGATTCAACGTATAAAAGTAATGAAATAACATAAATATAGGTGATCATTTCCAAAGTGATAATAATAACAAAAAAGTGATCAAACCACATAATATTGATTATTTCCCATCCCCCAGGTCCCCCCCAAAAAAGAAATAAACACACAAATTAATGATGTTATAATATAGCAGTGAGTAATGAGAATACACACACACATACACACAAATATAAAGAGAGAAAAACAGAATGAAACATTATGAATTAATTTTATTGGCTAATTCAATAGTTGATGTTTAACACAATAATATTGGAATTCGAAAATTCACGAACACTAGATACTAAGAAACTAAACAGTACTCATTTGGTGACTTCGGTCAGGTCAAAGAGTTGAATCGATAATGTACAGATCTTGAAGAGAACGCTTAGTTAATAATTCACATGTCCAACTTGAATTCAATTCGTGATACAGTGTGAAAAAGATCAACGAATGACTCTAGAGTGATAACTGTTTCACTACTGATATGTTTGAACATCAGTAAAACACAACTATTCATGACTAGAACTTTAGGAACATCATGAATAAAGTCACTAATGTAATTTATTTAAATGGGTAGTTATCAATATTCATTATTAAAGAATAAAGATAAAAGTAATTAACAATTAACATCATAATAAACAATTAATATTCAATAGAAAACATACTTTTAAAAAAATTTGCATTTAATAATGTTACAATTGATTCAGATGAAGTATTATGTTTGATTTGGTCTGTTTCTTCATCATTATTCAATAATTGAATTTCGATATCTTCTGATATACTACTATTAATAGTAGTAGTAGTAGTATGAGTAGTGGTAGTTGTAGGAGTAGGTATTGTTGTAGATAGTTTGCTTAAATTATTACCATTACTGTTTATGTTGACAGAAGATTCGTTATTATGAGTTGTTACATAAGATACTATTCATTCATATAAATAGATAAGAAACACAACAAAGACAATTATGAAAGTCCTTAGGCATAATATCATGATATAATTTAATGAAAGAAATCAAACAGATATTACTTATAAATTCATAGTAGTACAGTGAGTGGCCCGGGATCTGACTCCAATGAGATCGTTTCTGATTGCTATTGATATATATATATATATATCATTATTCCTTGTATAAAATTATAGACTTAGATCGCGTTAGTGAATAATGGAATTAAATAAGTCAAATATGAAGATGGATTTCCCAATACATATATTGTGTATAATCGTTGACCGGAACAGATAATCCGAGAGATGTAACGAAGGAAGCGAAGAAGAGAACGACATGAAGCGCAATGGAGAAGGCATGTGAGCCAACTCGATTTATTCAAGCGTTAATCAATATTTATAGTCACACAAAAATAAACTACAAATATGTGGTGAGTACGATACGCTCATATAAAATAGTCAACGTTGATAAGTGAATAATTAACAAGGTCAAAATGTGACTCAAGAATGGATAAAAATTGGCCTGTCCGAAAGCTAGAATAAGGTATATGGATTTAACATAATAACCGACACTATAGTAGTACTTTTAAAAGAATGTAATACAGTTCACAGATCAATAAAGAAATATTATATCAACTTTATACAGTTCAACAAGTGAGATCGGAAACAAAAAAAAGATACTGGTGAATTGTACTGTGAAGCCTTGAGCAATTCAACAGTTCCAGATGGAACTCTGTGTACAAGCAATTTCTCTTTTTTTCATGAGTTTAACATTCTTTTTAATTTATTTCCCTATTTCTATAAAGTATACATCAGTAACAGCTTGATAAGCTTAGAACAATGTATCATTAAACTATGACGTCGGGTGATACGAGTTTGAATCTCACAGGTAAAATTGGTTCCCTCGATTGGAGCAATAGCTTAATATCACTGGCTTTGATAGTGAAAGTTTGACCCAAACACAAGTATGCAGACCTGAACATGGTAGAACTAGAAATAATTCTTAAATTACAGTCATATCTTGAGGACGAATATCAACTTGTACACAATCAATGTCTAGAGGCTTTTCCGTCGACAGATTACTTAATACCATTGAATATGGATTATACTTGAAATCCTGAAGGGAAGCGGGAAAGAGGAAGGCAAAAGAACACATTACGTTGGGGAATAGGAGCAGATATGAAAAGGATGAATAACAACTGGGAAGAGCTGTCAATTGCATGAGAGAAATACGAGATATTACTTTAGAGATAGATGACTAGGGAAAAAATCAGAACAATATGAACGCTTAATTGTTTTAGCTAATCACTCTTAATGTTAACAGATAGAGTTATGAAATACAAATATTGGGTTGGACTCTCAATACCACTTACTTACGTCTGTGGAAACACGCTACCACGAGAAAGGAATGAGTAATACATCCCGAGAGGAGGCTATAAACAAGTGGTGATCTAGAAAGATTTCGAGGGAGGTAGTACCAGGAAGTTGAGAAGTACTGGAAAAATATATTTTACAGCCGACCAATTTTAAAAACGTTTGTAGTTGGTTAATTTTAACCGAATGATAAAAGATATAGAATAAATCCACTAGATAATTTATAATCCTATGCAAGTCATACTCACTTTCAGTTAATTTATTTGAATCATTATGCAGCAAAGATGTTGAACTACTAGTGTTAATGATTGATTGTTTACTGGAATGTTGTTGTTTAATTTGAATTGGTGACTTAAGATCTTCTTCATCATCGTCATCGTCGTCCTCTTCAATGTTAAAATAACCTCTAGTGTGAATATTGTCTTTGCCTTTTTGCAATTCGTCATTCTCATCCTTTTCATCATCTTCATTATCACGATCATTGAAAAAATCATCATCGCTATCAATATTGTTATGAAAAAACATTTCTCCTAAAGGTCCAGGAACTCCAATATGGATATCAGGTGTTTTAACTTGATCTTTTTCTTCAGATTGATTATTATCATAAATACTATTACTATTATCATTATGTTCAGATTCTTCGTCTGGATCTAACCATGAATCCATAAAATTCTGTAAAATAGTTTGTCGATGCAGATTAACTATTGTAGATGCTGGTATCACTGGATGATAAGCAAGATATTCATGATTATTTTTACCATATTCACCATGTTTATCATTGTCAATATCATCTAAGAAATAAGATGATGATTTTCCATTTAGATCTAATAATTTGTTTTGCATTAAATTTGATGATGTAACAGGTGCCAGAACAAATGGGACACTTTATGATAAGGATAAATGATAAAATGAGAACAAATGAAGAACTGAGTGATTTGATTTTAATAATTTTAAAGAATTGTTTAAAGTATACAGTGGAATACGTACTAAGAATTTTGATCGTCCATATTTTTTTTTCAATATTCAACTAACGGGTGGAAACAGTCAGTCAGTCAGTTACAGAGTAAGACCAGGGCACAACCTCATCAACTGATTTACCATCATTTACTAATACCCTGCGCATCTAACCTGAATATATTACTTACCCGATGATTCCAGCAGATGCGAGAAATATTTCGAAGGCATCTGTGGTCAAATAGTAGTAGCTAATGAGTATCTTCTACTCTTAATGGTGACGTTTCGCAGCTGTAAAGTAGAACAGAAGAAACTGCCGCGCAATACACTCGTCCCTTAATTGATACACAAATATCTCACCTCCGCCATAGGTGACGTAAGTTGGCAAAAGCCAAACGAGTTTTTCGAATCCGTGCTGAGAATTTCTCAGACACCACGAGTGGAAACTCTCATTTACAGCTTCACTGTTACAACCGGAAGTGGCTGGAGCGTAGATATCAGTGACTTTAAAAAAAACTACTATATTACAAAACAATTTTCACAATAAAAATCGAGTACATGCATTTAGATGTGACAGTATAATATGAAGATCTAATTACGTGGCTATTCAACATAAACTGTAATGATTTTTACAAGGTTAAAGTCATGTAGTAGTCCAACCATGAAGTGTTAATCTTACATTCCGATGGGTCATGCAAGTGTGTAGCTTGACATTATACAAATGAAGCACACAGAACGAATGATTCTTTATTACAGAAGTTATTGTGGATTAATGGACTCATGAATAGAGGATCCAAAAGTGATCATGAGTAAATCGATCCTATCAAATCAACTATTTCTTCAGTTTTCCTTCAATAACACAGCAGGCTGGCACCGACATTTATGAGGAGCTGTACCTGTATTATCATATTACCTTACATGACAGACGCCATAGAAGCCACGTACGAACCGGCGATCAAATGAGCAACAAATTTTATGCCTCCTTCCACCGATCAATGATGGCTACCACTAGAGTTCAAACAGTGTCACGACTATCTTTGATTTTAACAGCCGTTGGCTCCGAAGGATCACTGAAAACCGATGGTAATAACACGTTATAAATGCATGCATTCAGCAAAGTGTGCTGGAGCACAATTCAATCGGTGTCAACTATCTTCGGTGACTTGGACATGTCCTACGAATGTCATCCTAGCAAATTCCACACTGTGCATTATTTGCCTACTCTGAGACTGGTTTAGCGCATATATTTTTTGGTGCCATATTGTAGTAATATATATGAGTTTAAACAAATAATATTCATTATGGAGATAACAATATTGTGAAATCAATACTATGGCCTAATGTTACGTAACGAACAAAAATGAAAAAGGTTAGAAAATAACAGTAGAAGTCAACTTACTCAGAATGATTAAGATTTTCAATGGCAGATTGAGATGTCTAGAAAGAAAACGAAAGAAAGGAACGATGAAATCTATCGGAGAAACAGTTCCAGAATAAATAAAGTTATGAGAAACGAAAAATATATAGAATGTGATCAATACAAAATCGATCAATACTAACGACTAAACAAATGGTCACTGTTACAACTGTGATACTAGAGTTATATGCAAAAACGGATAGTGGATAGCAGTGGAATACAGGACAAGGTTTCGTCCTATTTGAGACTCGTCAGCTGGTCATACCTGCACCTCAGAGTTGATGAACCCTCTAGGGCTTGAACTCAGTACAGTTCGTATGAAACGCCATGACGCTATCAACTTACCTACTGAGTCCTGATAGCCACCTGATTGTGCAATGGGCTGAATTTTAAATGCACGAGTCCCAAATAGGACGAAATGCGCATCCTGGATTCCACTGCTAGCCACTATCCATCTTTGCATATGATGCCTGGGAATTAAGGTTATATCGAGGTAATACGCACAGTATGCACATATGTCAATAAGAAACTGATCAATTGCAGTCTTAAACCTCAATGGGAAGATTCAAACAAAGAATACAAAATGAATGTGATACTAGAAGTTCAAAATATTATGAATAGACGACTGGAGGGATTTCTTGCTATTAACTAGAAAATTATATACTATACGATAGGGGAGTGTTGAGAAACATTATTGCACAACTAAACAATGTGACTTTGAGTTGAATTTGAAACGTATACTATACAAATGAATTAGAAAAAGAGAAGAAGGACTTCTGTTTACCTCAGCAACTTGCACAGAGTTGATCCCATCGAGATCTTTGATAAAATCTGACCATAGTTTTTGAGTGTTCGGATGTAAATCTATGAAAAAGAAAATAAGTTTAGAAAATTATTAAACATTTTCCCTGTAAGGAAGAAAAAAACTAAAGTGACAAGTGTAGTGATTACGAGAGACATCGGGTTCTCTTATACTCTCTACACAAAACCTCGAGGAAACTATATTCATTTCAATTAATCTAACAATTAGAGAGAAATCAATCTGAATGATCCAATAAATTTTGCGAAGATCGAGAGGTTGAACTTTAAAACGTTTGTATATGTCAGACAAATATAAGGAATCCATAAAGACAAAATAAAAATGTAAAATATAGAGTGTTATCAATCAGCCAGTCATACGCCAACAACATCCTGGTATATATATATACACACTTCGATTTAAGCTCATATCAAAACATTCAGATGAGAATATCATGACAAATAGTAGTCTTTAACGTTTTTATAACCTAATCACATACCACTCAATATTGTGTGTCTAGATGTGATATGGCATAACACTACAATGCAAATAACTTCAAACAAAAGATGCTTGACTAAAATGGCAATATGGTATATGGATGAGATTATAATTTATGGAAGATCTTTGAGCGAAGCTGAAGTGACCTTGAGAATATCCACATACTAACTAGGACTAAATGAAGATTATAAACTATGGTCAGGAACTAGAATTAAGATTTACTGTTGATGGTTAAGGGTTAAGAATTAAATTCATGGTTTTCATCACATAAGCTAAAATGCTAAAAACGTTCATTAACTAAATGGGTGAATGAATTTCGCCTTTTATCTTCTATAGTGGATAGAATACAAAAAGATTGAAATTCAAATATGAATACAATAAAGATATTAACTATTGAGTTATCTTAATAGGTATAACATCTTTACAGTTGAAGTCTATTTAGTAATTATCATCAACGATTTAAACACTGACAGGTAACAATAAATATACCTTTTTTAATGTCCCTAAATGAATAGAAAATTGTATTTCTGATGTTTCGTAACTAAATATAAGATATTTCTTCAGAGTAAATAAACGATCGGAATAATAAAAAAGAATTAACACAAGTTTAAATTGTAATATTAAGTCATGAAACATCAGACATACAATTTTCTAGTCAGATTTACATTGAGACCTACTTACATGTAATAGTCTTGAAGAAATTCAATACAGTAATGAAGAAGTTACTTTAAGGGTATAGAACTTAATTTGAACTTGTTAATGCCTCTTATTCATTGAATATAGCCGCACAGTGTACTTTAAGTGATAATATAAGTTTTAAACTGATTGATATCTTTCTATGCGTAACACATACACACACACACACAGTATTCCTTTAACTCTGAATTTACATAAAAGTTCTTATTCGGTGAATGAATCTTACGATCGTAATACATCATTAAACAAACATCGATATCAACAGTTTGAAAAGATAATAGAAAATTCATAGAGTATTTAAAAAGGTCAGATATATTGGTTGATAATTCTCTATATGGTATACAGATATAGATTTATGTCCATAGTTGAAATCATCAGTCAAATGAAGCTAGACTACCATGGAAGCACTGGACGGCCGTTTTGTCCTATTGTGTGGACTCCTCAGTAGTGCGAATCCACAATCCCGCCCCTCATGAAATTCGAACCCGGGATCCATCAGTCTTGCGCGCGAGCGCTTAACCACTAGACCATGGTGTTAATGTCTAGCTTCAACTAATCCAGGATAGATTTATGTAACATAATTATACAGAAGTTGTAATATCTGAAATGCAAATGTGTATTCCTCATTAGAGTAAGAGGTGAAATTAGAAAAGTATGTTGATGAATTTGCTCATTTTTAATCAAAGTGGTTGATGTGCGTGCATAGCAGCAGTCACATATTAACAAATTACCTTGAATGAGAGATTTTAAAAACTCTCCATACGGACCATTCATTGCTGCTACAATTAGGTTACCAATTTGCCAGATATGTCCTGAATAACCTGATTTTACAGGGTGTTTTGTTAATCGAACTAAGCAGTTCGGTGAATCCCCATCATTCGGACTAAAGGGAATAATGATTACGAAAAACTATATATAATCAACATGTATAACAATTAATCAAAACAAAATGATTATATCCTGGATCCAAGACATACATTTCAAATTATCTAGGACTTATCGACTGAATGTAACTCTTTCTTAGTTCACAATACATACACTGAGAATTGAAAAAAAGTATCATTATCCTTTATGAAAAATGTCCACGCGAGTGAAAACCTAAATATAACATATAAGCACATCTGTGGTGTATGCTACTTATACTGACAGATATAAGTAGTATGTAACAAAAATCGAAAGTGGATTACTTGCGACCAGAAGATTAAGTTAAAGAGAACAAGAACCAGATTCGAACACGATGATTATTGTATTTAAGGCGATCAATGTTAGTCGGCTATTTGAGAAAACAGTAAAATTTTATTATGGTAAATACTATTCAAAATGGTATTTTAATTACATTACTGTTACATTACAGTTGCTTGTTTTGATTTGTGTCAGGTTGAGTGAAGTGCCATAGTCAAAGAGTATTAAATAAGGAAGCATGTAAATAATTACAAGATTTAATCCACTTATAGCCAAGAGTGATATCAAGGTGTCAGTCTGTCAAAAAAAGACTGGTAAAATGTAGTCCTGAATTTTAACAATCAGAAAATATAAGTCGTATGATAATCAATTAAATGAGCTCATATAAGAAAAATACAAACATCCTAATTCATTATATCAGTATACAGATTCAAATGATGATGTAAATGAATTTGTAGAACAAATGCGACCGAGGGTGTGGAGAATTAGCTCTCACAGCCACTACCATGGAAGTCCTACTCAATGCCTTCTCGTGACCGGTGCGTTATTCACGAAATTGAGGAAGGCGAGAAGCCAATATCCAGCGCTTTGATCGGGTTGGTGGATACGAAGAGTCCATCTAGGGGAGTTGGAAAACCCTGATTCCAAACGAAAGGTGTACAAGGGCTCCAGGATACTAATGGAACAAATGGCGTATGAATCCATTGTTGGTCACTGGCCACCATGGGACTGTATTTCCTAACGTTGCTCCACTACATTGTGGATCAGCCATTTAGGTTGAATGCTCTGGGTATGGCATTCCAAGAGGACCACCTGTTTCGGTTTGAGCACCCGGATAGTATCTCAGCCCTCACATTAAATCAAGTGGTTTATGTGGTGCATATCTATTTGGTGTATCCTTGTACCGATGTTTATGCATATATATATATATATATATATATATATATATATATATATATATATATATATATATATATATATATATATATATGAATGACTTAGATTTAGGGTAATTATCTTAATTTGAGAAAAGCTCCTGGTGAACTTAAAGAAGCTCTGAAAAAGCTGAAGACATTTCATTTAATTATCATTTGAAAGAACACTATAATCTCGATGTGTAGGTTCTGGATTGGAAATATGCTAAACACCACTGCAAGCGAATTGGATGACTGTAATAAAAATTTCGTTTTCAAGTGTTCGAGTGCTCAAGTTGTATAACAATTAACTCATATTTATTCGTAACATGTACAATGTTAGTTTGTAATAGAAAGAAAAGAATACTAGTTTCAATCACAAAAGGTGAACCGCATAATGGACAAAACATAATGTTCTGATGAATTAATAACTCTATAGTTAGGTATTTACAAAAGATAACACTTTCACGAGTATATGTTCTTTTCTTAAAATTAGCGAAATGATTTGTTACTCATTACATTAGAGTCAGTCAGCTACAATGGACGACCAGGCATTATTGTTATTATTTGAACACATAGATGTTGGTACAAGGAGGAACCAAATGCATATGTAGTGGAGCAACGTAAGGAAATACAGTCCCATGGTGGCCAGTGACCAACAATGGGTACATACGCCATTTGTTCCATTATGATCCTGGAGCCCTTGTACACAATTGGTTTGCAATCAGGGTTTTCCAACTCCTCTAGGTGTACTCTTCGTGTCCACTAACCCGGTCAAAGCGCTGGATATTGGCTTTTCGCCCTTCTCAATTTCGTGAATAACGCACCGGTCACGAGAAGGCATTGAATAGGATTTCCATGACAGAGCCTATATACGCGTGGCCATGTGAGAGCATTTCGAGAGGGAGAGCGGACTATCCCCACTCTCGGCCTTACCAGGGCATTTGGGGGCATATAAATGCACCGGTCCACAATGTCACACCTCATTAGCACAACAAGACCAACACCAAATTCATACAAGTGGTTAATTCAATGTTAATAATTTATTAAAAAGATTGTAAATAGTACAGGAGCAAATAATTAGTAGGTAGGAAGAAAGATATAAAAGAATTTTGTTCTCACGGTTTAAGCGAAGAGAAAGAGTGTATACACCTACGCCATTGTGATCGATTCTGAGCCTTGTCAACCAGTCTCCAACCATTGGTTACGATAGTCGCATGAACCCGAACCAAGTAGTCTACATTTACTAACACGGCTCAGATCAGAAGTTAGTGACTTTGTGAACTGATGCCACGTTTTGGTCAGTTTGACCACTCCTAACTTTCGTTCAACCATCCTCAAGACTTTTTAGCATTGCACATCATGGTAATCGATGTTCAAGCATATGTAACACATGGTTCAATCATCTCAATCGATAAAGATTCACAATCTCATCAACTGATTTACCAATTACATGAGAACATCACATTGAATAAGAATGATTAAATGAATATAGAATACATGTAGTATTCATTCATTTCAAATAGTTATTGTCATATTATGGTTTAACCTGATCAAACACTAACAATACAAATTCATTGTAGTATTGACGAGTGAAACGAAGAAAAAAAAGACTCTATATGTATTTCTTAACATCCGGTTTAATTCATACATTCATACCATTATCTAATTAATTAACTATCAGTGAAACAAACCAAACACTTCATAGACTACTGATATTATTATTAATATAAACATAATAAAATTATGAAAACTTACCGTTCATTTAATGATGGTAAAGGGGATAATGTTAAACACCAATCAATAAGTTGATGATCTTTTATTAAACTAATTAATATATTTCTACTATATTCATTCTCATTTTGATGAATTAAATTAATACCACTACCATTATCATATGGATTAAGTTGGTTAGTATTAGATGAATTTGTTGAACTGATTACATTATCAGAATCAGTTGTAGCAGTATTCGTCGATGAATCAGCTGATGATGATGATGAGATTGAAGGGGATAAAGATTCGGTGATTTGATTATTGTTATGATTAGAAGATAGTTCAACAGTAATAGTACTAGGAGTTGTATTGATGAGATGATTTGTTTTATTATCATCAGATACATTAGTGGAATTATTATTACCATTAATATTGTTCACAAATCCTGAATGTTTAAACACTGATTTTATAATATCAGTAACATAATGATGTAAAAATGTATTGTATGGATATAAGGCGAATAATTCCTATCAGTATAAACATGTATATATATTCAGAAAGAAAGAAAAAAAAGAAGGAAATACAATAAATGTTTGTTCAATTCAATAAAAATCAATAATATTCATGAAAAAAAAACTATACTTTAATGAGATAGTGGAGAAGATTTGTAGCTCAAGTGAATGATTATCACAGAGTTTTGTTCTCTGAGCTGGATGGTTTTGTTGTGGAGATTTCATCGTTCTTCTGAACGACATCATCAGCACAAACTTCAAGTAAAAGTGAATTATTGGAATTTTTCCACATGTGGTTTATAGATTGTCCTTGATGTTCATTGATTCTTGTTGACCTTAAAGTAAACTATACTTTTATAGATGAACTGATCAGATAGTAGTTAGTAGATTAATACGTGAACTTCAAAACCTGATGACAGGATAGTTTATAGCTTATTATGATCTAATTTAGAAGGTAAATAGGATGTATCAATATTTAATTCATTTTGTATTACTTGTTTGAATCTTCTCATTGGTGTTTAGATATATATCCAACTAACGAATCCCAAATAGGATAAAACGTACGTCCTAAAGGGTTCCATTGCTAGCCACCCATCTATCTTCTAAGTATTCACTGATGAGGCCAGAATAACTACTAATATTAACTACTCACCGTCCTACACACCTTCAAATTATTAAACAGTTTAACTAGTATTAATTGAGTATGATTCTTATTTATCATGTCAACTTGTTGAGTTTGTGTTATTTACATTCGAAATGTGACAAGTCACTGTTTAATTACACATTGGAATGTTTAGGAATTTAATGTTGAAGTTCCGTTCACTTATCGTCTTATTATATACATAGTAATAGGTGGAAGAAAATCTGTAAGAAAGTATAGTTTTATATTAGTTGGCACTTGTCAACAATGTGCATTCCTACAATCTAGGAAATGATGCTTCCCGTGATATTTGAACGAATGTTATTCATTATCATAATCAGAGATGTTATCAACTAGTGAATTATCATGTTTGTCTTATATATTGAGTATCAATTACTTATCAACAAACAAATATCTTCATTGTATAATAGGTATTTACATTTGCAAGAATAGGTCAAAGATTTATTGTCAAATTAGAAAAGTGTTAAGCAAGTTTAGCTATCGCCTAGACTGGTGTATATTATTACAAAGCAGAACAAAAGTGTCAAGAGTAGGATGGGAACCACAAGAATTGATGCTATTTGATATATACCTACCTAACAACATACATAATATATTCTTTCAATTTGATTCATACTTTCCTATATCTTTTGTTGATTTAATTTCATTGTAACGATGTGATGATAGCTTAAATGACCAGAATGAACTAATAAAATATAAACTATAATATAACAATAGTGTACACACTATTTAGCTAAATAAACTAAAATAATAGAATAAAGAATTCGATTCCATCAATTAATAGTCGGATATCATATGTCAATCAGTCTATCAATCCACAACGTAGAACTTCGTACATATGTACATCAACTCGAGTTGTCATATCCCATTAGTACCGAGATAAAAGTGTCGATGCAACGCATATCATATGACTAAACTTTGAATAATGCGCAAAAATGTTTTACATGGGATATAATAGAAAGAAATAACCAATCATAATTTACCATTGAAGTTTTTACAAATCCAATATCTACAATTGCTTTAGATAAATTAGTACTAATAGGTAAAGATATAAGTGAAGCAATTAATTGTAGAATAGATAGACGACAACGTCCAAGTGGTGGATTTAATGTACAATGAGTTGTTGGCATACAATTATAAAATTGCTATAATAAATAAATAGATAAAAAAGATAATGTTAATTTAACGGTTATCTTGTAAATTCAGTATATATATATATATATATATATATATACATTAGAAGGGATTTGTGGATATTACAGTAATTTTAATAGTTGAGATCATGAGTCCATCGAAGCTAGACTACTATGGAAAACCTGAAAGCACTGGACGACTGTTTCGTCCTATTGTGCGACTCCTCCGTGGCAGTGCGCATCCATGATCCCGCCTCGCGAGATTCCAACCCAGGACCTATCACTCTTGCGCGCGAGCGCCTAGCCATTAGACCACTGAGCTGGTTTCTAATGGTGTTAATGTCTAGCTTCAACTAATCCAGAAAATTGAGCGACACATTCACCATTGTCTTCAGCGAGTGACCACTCACAACAAACCCGGTTGAATTCAAAGCTTTCGACCACTGATTACAATAATCACGCGGGCTCCAACCAAGTAGTAGTACAATAGTGAATATCTTCATGGACTGATGCCAAATCTTGATGTGGCTGCTCCTAGCTTTCTTCCAACTTATTTTCCCACACAAGCCATCATTGCACGTTGACATAGTCAGTAGATAGACATAAATACAGACTTACTACTTCATAGATTGATTTTCCATACTTACCTAGAACTTGCTATCAACCTCAGAATTACTAACTCTACGGTCTAAAATGTACAAGCAATGGTTTAAAGACATATGTGATGGAATATTAATAAACTACGAATATCATATATTGTTAAAGACCACGTTTCAGTCATAAAATAGAACGAAGCGAACTGTTACTATTGACAAACTGATATCTCGTCTACGTAACAAGTTGAAAAAAGCAAAATGAGCTCTCTGAGTTTTCATAATGCTTTTTTTAAGCATATAATGGTTTACGACATAACTGTTGAATTAAAATAATTTATAAATCTCATTGATTCAAACAATTTATCCTTATTTATTTAATGACTACCATCTCTTTTTTACCGACCTGATCACCACACATATAAACTGACGTGAATTGTGTGATCACATTAAGAATGTAACACTGGATATTTGGAATCAATAATCGCTCAGTGGATAACATGTCAAACGCTTGAAGCGAAGGCTACTGGATGAGTCATAAGGTATACATTAGTATTGTGGTGTAGATACATACAACTGAAGAGTCCTGAACAGGATGATCTACGTGTTCGACTGATAGCCGAAATCTACCTGTTTTATACAATGATATTTATAATTTCCCCACCGTTTTTGAGTATAAATATTTTTCTAACATTGTTTAGTCATAAATCGAATCACAAAGGAAAGTTAGGCATTTTCTAAAATTATCCAAAAAAATCAGTATAAGGTTGTGGAAATTGTTGTTTTAACTGAGGTCATGAACCGATCCATGTTAGACCACCATTGAATACCTGGGAGTAGTGGACGACCATTTCATCCTAGTTTCAGACTCCCCAGCGTTACTCACACACGGTGCCGCACGCGAGAACCGAACCTACGACCTTTTGTACCGTGCGCGAACGCTTAACCTCCAGATCACTGAGCCGGCATCTAACGGTGTTAATGTATAACTTCAACCTATCCACGATATTGTGCGACCATCTTTCATTGTCTTCGGCGAGTAACTGTCTCACATTCGACACGGTTGAACTCTGTTGGTCATTGCTTCTGAATAAAACTCCGAGAATTAGCTCTCGAAGCTAGTCGCTAAACAGCGCATGATAATTATCAGTATAGAGTTGTGGTCGCGCAATATCGTGGATTGGTTGAATTTAAACATTAACACCGGTGAATAATTGTAATGTTGGTTATTATGTTAAGCCTAAATACCTTATTCTAGCTTTCGCACAGGCCAATATATTCATTCTACTTAAGTCATATTTTGACCTTCTTAATTATTCGCTTATCAATCTAGACTGTTTTTATATGAGCGTATATGTATGTGCCCTTTTGTCTCATTCATCATATGTCTGTAGTCTAATTTTGTGTGACTGTCAATATTGATTAACGCTTGATTAAATGGAGTTGGCTAACGAGACTAGTCCACTGCGCGTCATTTTGCTTCACTCTCTTCTATTCGCTTCTCCGATATTTAGTCTGGATCAAAGATTGTATGAAATACATTTATTCGGAATTCATTCTCGTATTTGACTTACTTAATTCAGTTACTGAATAATTTTCTCTGGTTAGCGTTTTTTCAGTGAGTTAGTTTTCTACGGGATGGGGTCGCTAACCCAATGCCCAACCCCCTTCCTCATCCCGGATTGGGGCCGGTAGTAGCCCCCAGAGGGACTCCAGGCGCAGTTAGGGAAAGTGCCCAACTACGGCACAAGACAAGCCCTCACATGGAATCCTCAAGGCCAAAGGGAAAAAGGAAGACCAAAGAACAGATTACGCCGGGAAATGGAGATAGACATGAGAAAAATGAACAATAATTGGATGGAACTAGAAAAGAAGGCGTAGGATAGAGTGGCTTGGAGAATGCTGGTCGGCGGCCTATGCTCCATTAGGAGTAACAGGCTGAAAGAATAAAGGGAGAAATAATTCAGTTACTGACTAACGCGAATAAAGTCGATGATTATATACGAGGATTGACGATAAGTATTTCTCAATAGCAATCAGAAACAATCTCATTGGGGTCAGATCCCGGGCCACTAAATACTGACTCAGTGGTCTAGAGTTTAAGTGTTCGCGCGCAAGATCGAAGGTTATGACTTCAAATACCACATGTGAGATCGTGAATGTGCATTACTGAGGAATACCATAATAGCTACAAAATAGCCGTCAAGTGATCTCAGGTTTTTAATAGTGGTCTAATATCGATCGTTTCATGATTTCAATCTACAACAAAATAAAAACTTTAATATAAACTAAAGGATTGTTAAAATTGAATAAGAAAACAGTCACGCGATTCAGATAAAATTAGAAAACTTTAATAGAATTAACTAGGGGAATTACGAATACATTTATATATAGGGAGTTTGAGAATTGTTAATTAGCATGAATTATTTAATGTTATTCTGTTCTAAATCGATTATTTATTTAAACTCATAAACATTGATACAATAAAGCACCAAATAGATATGCACCACATAAAACATTCGATTTGTGTGAGGGCTGAGATACTGCCCGGGTGCTCAAACCAAAGCAGATGATTTTCTCAGGAAGCTTTACTACAAGCCTTTGCCTTTGACCTAAAGGTCTAATTCACAAGGCAGTGGAGCGACGTCAAGAGATGTAGTCCCACTCGAAATGGTCTCACATGGCCACGCGTATAAAGCCTTTGCCAGAAAATTCCTACTCACTACCTTCTCGCACCACATAGGTTGTTTACGAAATTGAAGGGAGGAAAAGAGAATGTCCGGCGCTTTAACCGGGTTGGTGGACATGGAGAGTCCACACTGATTCTAAACCAATAGTGCACATAAGCTCCAGTACCCTAAGGGAACAAATGGTGTATGAACCAATTGTTGGTCAACGGCTACCATGGGACTGCATCTCTTTACGATGCTCCACTGCCTTGTGCCATGTTTTGGTCTGGCCGCTCCTAGCTTTCTTCCAACCTATTCCTACACCATAAAACATCACAAGTCGGGGCAGTTGGTGGTTGCAACAACTATTACAATTTCTTAATAATAATGATACAAATCTATTATTAACCAATAATTAATCAATGTTAAGATAAAACAACTAGATGACCCTGAAGTGAATGTGAATCGAACACACACACACACACAGGGGAGCATGTTTTAAAAATGAAACTGTGACTATTTAATTGTTCAATGTTTCAATTTAGATGAATCATCTAAAATGGGTGTTGCCCAGTGAAGAAAAAAGGATTTACCTTAGATGGTAATAAACAAATAAATAAGCAAATTTAGGAAACTTTTTTATTAAAAACTAGTTCTTAGAAAGAAACCATTGAAAGCAATTAGATCTAAACTGCTGCTGCTGCTGATGATAATAATAAAGAAAAAAACAAACCATGTTGTACTACTATTACTACTACTCAATAATATATGGATAATAGTTACAAAATTTATCATGTGCTAATCAATAATTTCAGTGATAACTAACCATTATCATGGTTACCATGCTTGAGCTGTGTTACGTAGGCCTAAAAACCGATTATCACGACGCGCAATACTGACTAGTGTTGGGGATGGATGGAAGAAAGTTAGGGGCAGTCAAACCAAAATGTGGCATCAGTCTACAAAGTCACCAACATCTAAGCTTAGCCATGTTGATAGATACAGACTAATTGGTTGGGGTCCGCGTGACTATCGTAACGAATGGTTAGAGACTCTGAGTGGCATGACTAAGATTCGATCACAACGGCGTAGGTGTATACACTCTATGCTTTTCTTTAAACTGTGAGATTAAAATCGCTTCATATCTTTCTTTCTACGAACTAATTGTTTCTTCCTGTACTGCATTCTTATATGCAATTTTTCTTTCATATGTTACTGCCATAGAAGTAACAACTTCTATGAATCCGGTGTTGACCTTGTTGTGCCAATGAGGTGTGGCATTGTGGACCGATGCATATATATGTCTGGTCGTACGTTGTAGCTGACTAAACCATTACCATACAACACGTAAACTTATTATAATATATATATTTGTGAGCAGTTCATCATTCAAATGAATTTAAACTATTATGTCTGATATATAGAGGGTGGGTGGATGGAGTGTTGGATACAACGAATGAGAATAGTCCTACTTATTGAGTTCCATGTTAATCAGTTGTCATATTACAAACCAAAAGGATAGTAAAAAACTTAGACTATTACAGTGCGATATCCATTCAGTAATATTGTAGTGAACATAGGCGGGACAGTCGAATGTATTTGAACACAAAATTACAGAATATCTTAGTAAAATTTGGGAACCATACAGTGACTACTTAGTCTGAAAAATACCAATCAATTATCTCAATCCTGACTATATTTTTTGCAAATATCAGTTAGTTGTCTCAGATTTCATTCTTCCTGTATTTCTATACCAGTTGCTTTCTATTCCCGTTTCTTTCTCTTCAATCTTCTTGACCTTCTGCTGCCAGACATTCTATTCCTGACTAGCGTTATATACTACTTATGTCTATATAAGTAGTACACACCACAATATTATTAATATTAAAGAGTACAATTGGTTAAAATCTACAATAGGTGTCTATAGCTATAAATCATTAACTCAGCTAACTATAATTTAGATTAAGTTTCACCCAGTTGGATTGATTGTAAACATGGTAGTACAGATGAATGTAACATAAACAAATTGATTGAAGCTATAATTGCAAATTATTGTATAGTGACTTAGTGGTATCTAGGTTCATCAATGATTCTAAGGATTCAATCTTGTATGGTATCGTAGATGTATACTGCTGAAGAGATCCACATTATTATATGATAGCTGTTCAACGACTGTTTAACTAAAATTAATCCGTAATGTAAAATTATAAATAATAATAACCAGTTACTACATATAGAAATAACACTTAGAGTCGATTCAAATTAGTTAGAAGATTCAATGGAAAGAATATAAAATCTGAAGAAATTCATCCATAACACTTACTGGATGAAATCGTTTCAACAAATCATGCAATTCATTTAAACGTGGTAGAGATGTTTTGATTAGATTTTCTGAAGCTTTCATTATATGTAATTTATCAATAACGGTATTATTATTATTAGTAGTAGTAGTATTAGTATTATCATCTTTTGATGAAGTAATGAATTGATTAGACTTTTCAACAAGATCACTAATATGATAATTATCAACAGTAGAAGAGAGATTATTGCCCAGATTAGTATTATTACGTAATATAAATTTCAAATTACTGCTAATATCACCGGAACATTTAATTAATGCATCAAAATCTAAACCATGTCCATCTTCTCCAACAGGAAAACTTGACTCACTAAAACAGTTGTGAACATAAAGAAAAAAAAAGGAAGAGTTAAGATAAAAAGGAGGAGAAAAAGTAACATTATACTACTTAATAACTACTATTGAATAATCTAGTTAAACAAACTCATTATAAATAATTAATACACTTGTTTTATTTATCTTTTTATTTGTTCAATACATTTACAAACTTTCATCTCTTCATCAGATTTTCTTTGTTTGTGTGTTTGTGGATGGATAGAGAGTTTCTTTGAATTCAATCGGCTTAGCAATTATTTTGATAGTGAATCAGTAATTAGTAAGCATAAATAATCAGTACTTTAATCAAAACAAGTAATTGTCCTGAAGTTGAAACATCAGTACGGTAATGAGTGAACGTTATACACCTGGACAATTCGTGAGTTCTTCCCAGAAATTAAACAAAATGTTCAGTATTTAATGGACAGATGATTGGTATAAGGATGCACCAAACAGATATGTGTCACATAAATCATTCGATTTGTGTGAGCACCAGGATACTGCCCGGGTGCCCATATCGGAGCAGGTGATTTTCTTAGGGAGCCAAACCCTGAACAGATAATTGTGGATATACACAAAAATGTAAAGTATTTTGGTGAAGTTTTGTTCTCTGAGCTGGATAGTTTGGTCGTAGAGCTTTCATCGTTATTCTGAACGACATCATCAACAAAAACTTCAGGTAGTAATGAGGTGAAGAAGTAAACAATGACAGGTTAAAGGTCAACAATAACCAATCAAGATTTAGGTCTACAGAACAAACTGTGAGTTATATGCGGAGAAATTTGTGACGACGATGAAAGCTCCAAGACCAAACTACCCAGCTCAGAGAACAAAACACCACCAAAATCATACACCTTAGATACGATTCTTCACCACAATCTCAAAGTGAAATATATTTATATAATTGGTTAAATATTGATGCCACAATTAATTAAGGATAATAAAGACTGACAGACATAGAGCTGTAACATCGGAGAGTGATCTCAATATTACCCTGTCTCACTTAAATTTTTTATGCTTAAACTCAAATGTATTTGTATACTTCTGTAAAATTGTAGAGACCCTGAATGACATGCCTCAAAATCGTTTGCAATGACGCACGTGCATCCACTCTTTGTGTTCACCCAAATTCTAATCTCCTGAATTCTATATGTCCCTTTATTTCTTCTCTTTCCAAATTTATTTCACTGGATCATACTCTATAAGTAACATCTCCAAACACTAATCTTCCGATAACTGCTTATACTCTTACTGTTGTAATGTGTGAGACTGCAGGTTTTGATAAGCAGCGTTTATATTGATCGATTACAGTGACATGTAAAACACGTAAGGACGACCTAGAGTCCCGATTGGTCTCGCTTCCCTGTCTAGCCCAGCCAGTTGAGTCTAGAACGCAAGTCACAGCCTCTGAGTTATGAATCATTATATTTCAGACATACTCTATTTATATACTAACCAAACAGACCACATCGTACCATAAAACTAGAAAACAACATCTGTACAATATTTAACGAGTGAAATAAAAATGGCCAATAGAGAATGCCCATTTAGAGTCCAAGGACATCATTAGACTTAACATGATAATGATTGGCACATTATTCCTCAGCATCCATAACACTTACTACCTCTACCACTACGGAATTTGAGTCGATAACTGCATCTCTGTGCTAATGTGGTGTGGCAACTCGAACTGATGTACGTACGTACGAAGTTCTACGTTGTTACTCACTGACTGACTGAGTTTCCAGTAATCAATTAGTCTAATATCTATTAGAATTAGATATTCTGAAGTTAAACAGTTTATATCTAACAAAAACATCAGTGCGCCTATACTCAATTCTAGCGACGAGAGTGTTAAAAAAGAACACAACAAAGGTAGATGAAAGTTGGTCAAATTTTCAGCATCCTGTTGCAATACAATAATTTACCAGGGATCAAATTGAGACTGATAGTTAGGTATTAATTCTATTGACAAGTGAGTGATCCAAAATAATCTGATCTATATGAATCGCTTGTTTGAGAAATAAAAGCTAATCATGTTTATTTTTATTCTAATATTTTGTATATAAGATATATAGGACAGTGGCTAGCAGTGGAATCCAGGACACACGTTTCGTCCTATGTGGGACTCGTCAGCTGGATGCACCTGCATTTCAGAGTTGACGTTCACTCTGGGGCTCGAACTCAGTACAGTTCACTTTAAACGCCATCACGTTATCCACTTAGCTACTGAGTTCTGATAGCCACTTGCTTGTGCAACAGGGTGAAGTTCAAATTTACTTGGTATTGTTTGTCTGAATCTTCCCATTGATGTTTAGGAATGTATTCATTTGAACTGTAGAGGATAGAATGTTAGTGAATCAATATTATAGCTAACTAGCAAGCAGGTATAATGTATCATTCGCAAATTATTTATCGATACAATACGTTATTCATCATTTCAGTAGCTCAAGAAAAGGTGTACATCAGTATGAAACCATGAAAACACCTACCGAATGATTATTGTCATGGCAATAAAAACGTTCATAAACATTTTAAAAAAAAGGAGAGTATTAACTTACGGCTTCCTTTTACCGATTAAAGCAATACATACATTTACACAACTGACTAAAATAGATGGTACGACATATTCATTAGCTATAATACGATTTAATAACATTGACATAGTTTCTTCACTGAAAAGAGAGAAACAAAAGGCTGTTTAACATAAGGCTCACTTTAACTACGAATTATATACAACAACAAAAAACCTGATACATTAATTACGAAATAATTCAGACACTTTACATGAGGTATGATCTGATATGAAAACAAGCCATAAAGTAACAAAAGTCGAACGAAATATAGATGAAGGATACTGATATGCAATTACATGTACAATAGACATAGACATAGTCATACACATGTTTGTTAAGAGATTTATAAGATTCGAAATAATTATCTGCTTACTTAGATTTAAGCAGATAAAAAATGAATAATACATAATTGTAAGTGGTGAACGAGGGTTAGTACTAAAAGAATAATAGAAATCTATTGAGAAAAAAGTTGTAAAGGTATTCATGTTTATCAAACATCTATTGTATTCCGTGAATCATAATGTCAAGAAATCATTCCAAGTAATATGTATAAATTGGTTGCTCCAATGTTAGACAGCCCTCAAATGCCCTGGTACAGCCGAGAGTGGGAAAAGTCATCTCTCATTCTCAAAATGCTCTCACATCGCCACGTGCAACTAATCACTGCCTTCTTGCAGCGAGTGTTGATCACAAAATTGAGAGGACGAAAAGAGAATGTCCAGCGCTTTAACCGGGTTGATGGACATGGAGAGACCACCTAGGGGAGTTGGGGAACATTGATTTCAAACCTATGGTGTACATGGACTCCAGGCTCCTGAAGGAACAAATGACATATGAACCAATTATTGGTCACCGGGTACCATGGGACTGCATCTCCTTACGTTGCTCCACTCCCTTGTGGACTAGATCTTTAGTTAGAAGGCTCTGGGTGTGGCCCCCTAAGAAAACCACCTGCTTCGGTCTGGGCACCTGGGCAGTATCACAGCCCTCACATTAAATCGAATGATTAGTGTAGAATATAACTATTTAGTGCCTTCTTGTACCAATGTTTATGTGTTTAAATAAATAAATAAATACAGCAATCATATGTTGCATTTTCTTAAACACACATTAAAAGGTATGCAAAATCAATCAATTAATTGATTAGTAGTACTAAAAGGGGAAACGAATATCATGTAACACATGAGTTATAAGCGTAATCATTACACAGTACATAAAAGAAACAGTTACCACATAGTTAATTGACATAGCATTCAACAGAATGACAATCGATTTAACAAACAAACAAAAAAAGTTTGAAACAGACCGAAATCGATGCAGTGAGCTACTCCTGTTTTTTCTAAGCTAACCGAGTTAGAATGAAAGTATTCATTTCTCATGATAGGATAAATATAGAATACATTTAAATTAAAAACTAGAGTCAACCTTTGGCAGTTCAATTGCATTAGCGTTCTTTAGTATGACTAAATAACATCAAAAGATTATTATCAAATCACAGTTCAGTCCCGGGAATGAGACACATTCAACGTATAAAAACTGCGTGTTCACCCACAGATTATTCCGAATGATTTAATTGATCGACGTCAGCTTGATGTGATACATCAGTCAGTCACTCAGTAACAATGTAGAACTTCGTACGTACGTACATCAGTTCGAGTTGCCACAAAACATTAGCACAGAGATGCAGTGTCGATTCAAATCCCGTAGTGGTAGAGGTAATAAGAGTATAAGCAGTAATCGGGAAGATTAGTGTTTGGAGATGTTATTTAAAGAGTATAATACAGTGAAATAAATTTGGAAAGAGAAAAAAGAAAGGGACATGAATTCAGAAGATTAGAATTAGGGATGCACCTGCGCCATTGCAAACGATTTTGAGCCATGTCATTCAGGGTCTCTAACCATCGGTTGCTATCATCTCGCGGTCCCCAACCAGGTAGTCTACACCTACCAACATGACTCAGTCCACTTGTCAGTGACTTCATGGACTTGTGCCATGTTTTGGCCGCCCCTAGCTTTCTTCCAACCTACTCCTATACCACTGAACATCGCACGTCGAGGCAGTCGGTCGTTGGGCATACGTAACACGTGTCCCAGCCATCTCAACTGATGAAGTTTCACTACTTCATCAATTGATTTGCCATCCTTACCTAGTACCCGTTTCCTAACAACTGCATTACTTACTCGATGGTCCCATGATATACGAGCAATATTTCGAAGACACCTATGATCAAATACTAGTAACCTACGAATATCCTCTACTCTTACCGGCCATGTTTCACTGCCATAAAGTAGGACGGAACGAACTGCTGCGCAGTAAACCGTCCTTTGGTTGATAGACGGATATCTCGCCTACGCCATAAATGACGCAAGTTGGCAAAAGCTAGTCGAGCCTTCTGTATCCGTGCTGAGATTTCGTCACACACAAGACCACAAGGGCTGATGAGACTTCCAAGATAAGTGAAGCGGTCGACACACTCAACTACTTCACTCCCTATCATTAGTTCGGGTGTCGATGTAACCCAATCCTGAAGCAACATTTTGCATTTCGAGGGGAGAATCGCATCCCGAACATGCTTGCATTGTTGCTTAGAGTGGTCAGAAGACTCTGCATTTTGTCAGCGTCTTCACCAAATAAAACTATGTCATCAGCATATTCTAAGTCAACAAGTGAACCTCCCGGTAGAAGTTCAACCCCTGGAAATTTAGATGAGGAGAGTGTTATCTCTAAAAGTACGTCGACGACAAAGTTGAACAAGAATGGGGAGAGTGGACAGCCCTGACGAACACCACTTGAGGTAATCAATTCTGATGACAGTTCGCCATAAGCTCTCACTCTACCAGTTGTGTTCGAGTAGAGAGCCTTTATAAGGTTAATGTACTTCTTTGGTACTCCTTTCAGTGACAAACACTGCCATAGAACCTCACGATCAACAGAGTCGAATGCCGCCTTAAGGTCGAGAAATACTACCATTGTGGGGCGTCTGAATGTGTGTCTGTGTTCTAGAACCTGACGTAGTGTGAATATCTGATCTATACAACCACGTCCAGGTCGAAAACCAGCCTGGTTTTCTCTAGTCTGCTCTTCACGAGCTTTGATTAGGCGTCGAAGTATTATTGAAGCTAATATTTTAGACACTATATTAGTCAAACTGATTCCTCTGTGATTGTCACAAGAGGACTTTTGTCCTTTCTTATAGACTGGCACAATCAGTGATTGAGACCAGTCAGATGGGATTACGTCCAGTTCCCAAATTCTACCTAAGACCTCAGTTAATCTCATTGCTAATACTGGACCACCATCCTTAAAAATCTCAGGAGTAAACCTGTCAGGGCCTGCTGCTCTCCCTCGTTTCAGATTTCCTATGGCTTTTTCAACTTCGTAAAGACGGAGGACCTACATTAACTTGCCATTCAGGTTGACTGGAGATCGTGGGAAACCGAAGTGTGGCTGAAGGCCAGTTGAACTGATCCCTAAAGTGTTCTGCCCATCGATCCAATCTCCTGGATTGAGAATGAATAATATGTCCATCTTTCTCTGAGATTGTTTCGCTAACGGTCGGTTTCCTAATTCCGGTTTCCTTAACGAGTCTGAACAATTGTCTGCTATTACCTATTGCCGCTGCCTTTTCCATCTCTCTTGCTTTCGCTACCCACCACTGTTCGCGATCATTGCGTAGACTTCTTGTCAGCTTGCGCTTAAGCTGACTCCGCTCTTCATTATGTTCAGAGCCAGGTGGAATGAGTTTCCGAGCATCTATCAGTGAGATAGATGCTGCTGAGATCCAGTGTTGCTCCCTAACCTTCCGGTTTACCTTACTAGCAGATATCACTGCTGTTTCCACAGCTTTTCGGATATCATTCCATGCTGCATCGGGGTGGGCATCACATACATGGCTGCCTAACTGTTTTCCTAGTTGTTCCTGAAATATACTCTTAGCTTGACTATCATTAAGTAGGCCCTAAGAGGTTTCCTTGCAGCGTCTTTCCTACGTCCAGTAAGACGCAAGCAAATACGCGCTCGCACTAGAGCATGATCTGAATCTAGGCATGTGCTCCAGAATGAGCGACAGTCTTCTATCGAGCCCCTCCATCGGTGGCTGATAGCGATGTGATCTATTTGGGTCCAACGTTGGGACGAATTAGGGGGTCGCCATGTTAAAAGATGTTTTTCCTTATGCTTAAAGTTAGTATTTGCAAGGAACAGGCGGTTATCTGAGCATAGCTGCAACAGACGGTCGCCATTATCTGTTCTTTGAGCCACGACACCATAAGATCCACCTAGGTGTCTTTCCCTATCGCTTAGTTTACCTACTTGAGCATTAAAGTCACCGGCCACTATTACTACATCCGAGCGCCTAGCTTTTCGGAGAGGTCCGAAAGCTTTCTGTAAAACTCATCTTTTACATCATCTGAGCTGCAGTCAGTGGGAGAATAGGCAGAGACGACGAAGAGGCAACGACGAGTGTCCCTATCTTTCCGGATTCTTACTGTTCCGTTCAGTCGGACAGCGCACAAACGACTGTCTACTGGGATCCACTCTAAGAGAGCTAGTTCTGCCCTAGGACTCAATGCTATACCTACGCCGGCGAGGCCACGGGAAGCAGAATCAGGGCTTCCAGATACACGAAGCGTAAATCGAGTCGGTTCTTTATTTTGGCATGGTGAGGTCAAATGAATGACGCTACTCGGATCCTGTATGCGCGTTTCGGAGACGCAGCACACATCGATGGCGCGAGATTCTAAAGTCCTAGCTAAGGAAGCCTGCTGTCCTATTTGGCACAGTGTTCGTACGTTAAAAGCTCCTACGTGTAGTTTAGAGCGTGGTTTCAGGAGACCAGGAATAACGTTCCGCGTACTCGAATCGTTTGCCCTAGCGGTGCGAGATGATAAAGGGACGTGAGAAGGGTTAGTCGTGGAGATAAGAGATTTATTTGGAGGTGTAGGAGGGATTTGAATGTGACCAACTTGGTCTCGTGTGCTGTTACGGGTGTGAGGGGTGATATCACTTCCCAGCTGCTCACACTGTGGAATGGTACTTTTTGAAGAACCTGAAAGGGAAGTCGGATTAGTGTTGGTCTTAACGACCTGGGAGTGTGACC